GGAAAAGAAAAAAAGAAAAGAACATCGAAGCGCGCATACCCCCTACAGGTTATGTCAGCACAACCGGTTTTATTACCATGGGAACATAAGCAAAGATATGGAAATGACCACTTTCTCCGAATTAAACCACATAAACATTTGTTTTTTCTTTTATGCTTTAAATATTTTCGATATTTTTTACCACGTCAGTTTGCCATGCGCGACTTATTTTTAACATGACGGTAAACCTGAGACTGGGGTAGGGAAAGGAAAACGCAAATGAAGACAGAAAAACCAACGGCAACAAACGAATTGCCCGATTTTTTTTTTTTTTTTTTTTTTTGTGTGTGATGTGCATTGAATTAGTTTACAAACCTTTAGTTGGGGTACAAAGTCTTTCTGTCGAGATCATAGAGGCAGCGTGCTCGCGGGTGCGTTAATAGGGAGTTTTCGTAGACCGCGTTGTCCCCTCCGCTAAGCGTTCCGCAACGAAGAAGTTGCTACTGCGCCTGCGCGCCGATAGCCTTGACTGTAGAGTTCCCGCTATCGTAGCGGGTTGCGGAGGGCCTTGCGGGACGGCGAAAACGATCTACGAAAACTCCCTAATGATCGCAGCCGCGAGCACGCTGCCTCTACAAGAACGATGCTCGTGTACCCCGGCCTTCAATGGCACTAAGATTCTGGCTAGGTACAAAGATAAAGTGTCGCGAGAATTACACGAGGCACTTGAAATTAGAAACAGAGAGAAGAAATGTATAAGCGACACGTCCCTATCCTTATCTACAAATGAGTTTGAATTTTTAAAACGCGGGCTGAGCAGATAGGGTAAACGAGGTTTTTGTGGCTATATAACGAGTGAATTTTCAATAAACTTCAGTTGAGAGTGCGTCTTGTCCTGTTTCCCTTCGTCTGTGTCCCTGTATTTTTTCGGCGCTATTTGTTTGCCTTAACTGAACCGGGGAGGAAGATGAAATATAGAGAAGGAGAGTGTATATTGAGTGTATGCTTTCGATGGCCCACGACTTTGAAAAAATTGGGTTGTGTGTGTGTTTATACAGCCTAGAACTTGGTCTGCCTCACAGGGGCGACGAGTCTCCCAGCTGTAGATGAGAAATTTAGCCAGTGCGGTACAGCCGCTAGCCTGGGGTCTTTAACGTGCATCACGCAGTAGTGATACACGACCGCACGCCGGTACGATGCTCATCCAGATCGAAACGGGCAGAGGTGGGGCTCGAACCCAGGATCCCTGGGTTCTGCAGCGCGACCACGACTTTGATTATCTTTGGTGGCTGTGTCCTAAATAATAGAAAACGGCACGTGACCATGAAAAAGCGAGTGAGCGCGACTCAGACCGGCCAGTTCTCGATCGGCAGTTTTCGGGCGGAAAGAAAACGAATTTCGAGCCGCAAATTGTGTTCTGGGTAGTTGGGCTCTCAAATGCCATACTCAAATACAAATCTTGTTGAATATTTTCGCCCTTATTAAAACCGAAAAACACCGGTCGTTAAATGTTTCCACACTGGTGACGCCTTTTTTTTTTTTTTTTTTTTGTAGTGGTTTGTTAAACGTGTTACCTCGTGGAACCTGCATCCTTGCAGTGTCTGATCAAAGGTCGCAATGGTTCTTAGAAGACATAGTGTGGTCCAGGGCCACTGATCTTGGAGAACGCGTCTATTTAAAATAATGAGCCTCTACTTTCGCTGTGGCAGCATTCATTAAAGCTGACTAAGCGTGTACAGAGCCTGATTTGTTTCTTTACTTTGTATGACATTCCTTAGAAATACGGTGGCGACAAATATGGTGCCAAAGTAAATAATATAAATCGATTTCTTTTTCACCGAAGATCACCATTTATAGTCTCGTCACGACTCGTCCTGCCGAAATACACCGGTTTAAAAAAAAAAAAAAAAAAAAAAAAGAAAAAAACATTGTTGATTTGTCTTATTAATAAACACCGGAAAAAACACGGTATAAGTGTATACTCGTCTTGAATTGGTATGATGCAAGCAGCCGCCATATAAACCTGATCGGTCTAATATTATAGAATGATGCTGGTGGATGCACCTTATACTAGCATACAGGATTATGAAGCACTATAAGGCGAGTCGTATATCAGTATATAAGCTTGAAATTGGCATTATACCAGCACAGCGGTTAACTTAACCCCTCGTGGACGAAGTGCGTACAATTTCTTGTGTTCCACTTCTTCATCCCACTGCATCAATATTTAAAGCCATTAACATAAAAATAATTCAACAAATATATGCGTTCAAACTTTTAACAACGTGTCGCGACTCTTCAACATATCAATGTTCAATTCATACAATTAGCTAACCTAAAACATCGCATCATCCTGCGCGACATAAGACATAGTCAGCCCTGGAAATTCGTGCATCGCGTACTGACTACATTGATCAGACGAATTCATTTCAATTTGTCCACCATGCTAAGTAATTTGTCTAAAAAGTGTTTAAATTTAGAAACACTGTCATATAAATAATTATTAAGTTTGATTTTGTCTATGTGACTTTTGAATACTGCTGTTGTTTTTGGTCCGCGATTTTGGTCTGTTATCTGATATGCTGTATTTTCGTGTTTTCAAATGTCAGTCGTTTTCGGGCATTTTTGTGCGTAAAATTATTCATTACATCTAATATTTGTATATTATTAGTATATTATATGGATTGTTTTTTGTTTGTTTTTTCTGCTGTCACGAACTGCGCGGGGCCTGGGACTTTCATCAAGCTGCTACTCAGCAGTTTTTTGCCCGTGTCACCTGTTGTCATGTAAGATGACGTGACAACAAATAAATTTGATTTGATTTGATCGCCACAACTACGATCGAATAACGCTAGAATAATTTTAGGTTGCTCGCAGTAGGTTAAAACGCCTCTCAAATTACCTTATAAAACATAAATGAGAAGAGACAGACACAAGTGACCTGTTTTAAATAATTAGCACGTTTTATTACATCCGCCCATGGGCAATGCCGCATACAAATGCAAACGTAAAACCACTAAGTAGAACGCAAATCAAGCTACGAAACGTTGCGTGTTGAGAGTAATCGCAAGGCAAACAACAGTATACTTTTAACTGTTTTAACATTACGGCGATTGTACGACAGAAACCCAGAGGCACAGAACGAAGACTCAAGTGGAGGCTCAAGTATACCCGCCCAAAAGCTTTGGGCAGGTACACTTGAGTCTAGTTACGATAAGAACAGCAAAATCCAAACACGTAATTCGAGATCGCGGGTATCACAACGTGCACAAACGAAGTTGTTAGAAATACTCAACGTCGCACGCACAAACGCATCACGCGCACCCTAGATACCAAGAAACATCCATAGGTACTCCCTTTCAGACACTTTATTTCGAGTAGTAGTTTTTTCATTTGTAAAATAGGGTGCTGTTGCTTGGAGCACCCTTTCCTCTGACGTGTGCAAAAAAGGGCGCTACGGGGAAGTAAAAAGGGTGTTTGCTGGTCCGATTCCCGCTTTACTATGTCCAGTGTTGGGAAGTACTTCCATTACATTGTACTTAAATTATTACTTCAAGTTTAGAAGACCTTACTGTACTTGGAAGTATATTTTTCTGGTACTTTCCGTGGAAAACACAACCCCCGACTTCAAAGTACGTTCCCCAAATTTAAACACATTAAATGGCATATCGTCACCTGAAAACGCGCTATCATCTTTCGACACGTTATCTCGCCATTTCTCTCAGTGGAGTAAAGTATAATACGCATGCGATTTGGCGAGCGTCGCGACGAGCGACGGCGACCCGCTTCGCTGTCGCTCGGTCAGTTGCGCGACGAGGAAAATCGCATGAAAGCGACCAAGGCGACGAGCGACGTTTTTTAGAAATCTGAAAACCGGGCGACGTGACAGTGAGAAATCTCCGTCGCTAGTCGCTGACTCGTCCCCGACTCTCGTCGCTGTCGCTCGAACCGCTAAACTTTCCGCCTATGGCCCGCTCGACCTGCAAGCTTGCCTTCCATTGTCGCCTCGGCACTGAAATGCGCGGGTATATTTGAATGTTGGTTCTGACATATTTTTCACTTTCCGATTTCACAATAACTATTCTTAATTTCCAGATGCTAAATAGCATACCAGAAAAGGTAAAGGCCGGTGACCCTAAAAATACTGTCAATTGGAATAGCTAAAAAATTCGCCGGAGTACCTCTTTGAATAGATCGACAGCGCGAGTAAAACAACTATACTGTCAACTTGACATTATCCAACATTCGCCGCCGTTTCCGAAAAGAATTGATGCATTCCCATTACCCCTAAATCAAATCATACCAAATTGGAAAAAAAAAAAAAAGAATTATAAGGGAATGAAATCATGAACGATTTATGTTAAAAAGTAAATGTACTTTACTTTGAAAGTATATTGTATTTAGAGTACTTTACCTCAAGTACATGGTGCCCAATGTACTTACTACTTTACTTGAAGTACATAACATCTTAGTTACTTTGTACTTTTTTGATGTACTTTACCCAACACTGTCAAACTTATTGCTTGGAGATGTCTTTCTTGAGCTTATATATTGTCCATGAAATATTGACGACGAAGCAACATATGTGTAAGTTGTAACCTTTGTAATTGCGGAGATGCACTGCGAATGAGTGTCTTTGGATTGTTGAGATGTAGAGAGAACACGGTCGCGATTCCTCAGTTTCTGCGCACGTGAGAACTGTATGGCGTGCTTGCTGCTTGTAAACATGTTTCTAAAATGATATCCTTATGTTGTCAAGATCGCCATAATTCGATCATTAGGCATATATAAGTACCAGTATCTACTTATAGTACATTGCTGGAATAATATTTACATCATTCATGCATGACAGTGGTAAAATATATTGGCATTTTTCTAGAATTATATGGGCAGCCGCAAACATTTTTTAATAGAATGTAAACCTTTGGTGACGGACGTTTCGCTAAGGAACTTGATTATTTTGCTAAGTAAGAGTCTGTGAATTAGGGACTCAGAAAGACATGCAAAGTAAAACATTCAAATAAGCAATAGTAAAAACATTTTATTACAGTTTAGCTATCCATTTAACATTCAAACGGAAAATGATAGAAAAAAAATTGCAAACGACTGCACAAAGTGTGCTGCAATTGACGGCGGCAGCTGTTGTGTTGTTGAAAGATGTGCTTTAGATTATTTGCTTTAGGAGCTTTGTCTTTTAGTAGAATGGGTGTAGGAGATGTGTGAAAAGCGTCGAAACATTGCATTTTTTTTTTTTTTTTTGTAGATTTGGCAGAGAGTTTTTCAGAACCCCGAAGCAGCGGCAGCTGCAGTTTCGAAGCTGCTGCCGTGTGGACGATGGCGAGAGAGAGAGAGGAGAAAAAATAGGGGGAGAGAGAAGGAGAGAGAGAGAGAAGTGACAGCGCATTTTGCCATATATGACCTGGTTGTGCCAGGGGCGACGACGATGGGTAGACATAGGGATAGCACGGCAGCAATGGGATGCGGTGTGCCCTGCCATCACGTGGGATTTCGCGTACGGACGCCACCGAATTTCGCCAGAAAGAAACACTAACAGCTGCCACTGTAAAAAGCGAGCTGTAATGGCATGTGTAACCAACAGGGGACAATATAAGGTAAGCGCAATAATAAAACACAGCTTGCATGAAAAGAAAAATTTATCTTGCAAATTATGACACAATGCTGTAAGCATCATGTAAGAGTCAACATGCTCTCTAAACAAATCTCCAAAGAAGATTCTCAGGCTAGAAAAAAAAGAAGAGTAAAAGCACAGGTCCCTCCATAGTCATCACACCATTACTCAAGGCAATAATCATACATTCCTTAACTCTAAACTCCAAACTCTTGTCCCACTAATTGAAATAGAGACAATTCTATCATACAGGTGCCACTATTCACATATTTAGGAGTGAAACCCGATTTCCAAAAGAGTAATAAAGATTTTTGAGCTGTTTCTAAGACAACAAATAACTTCACTTTTCACTGTCGAGAGATTTTGTGAAAACATGATAATAGGATTACCACTATGCACTCACCCAGAAGCATAAATAAGATCTAAATTCTCAATGTACACAAGTAAAATCTGCTTCAAATCCAAACATTCAAACATCTGCAGATTTAAGAATGAAATTGGGCCTACCTTTGTATCTGACATGGGAGATGTGGACCTTATGCTTATCAACACAAATTTGCTTGGCACTGTAATGGTAGCAAACCTCCATGCTCAGTCAGTGCATCACAAAACACATGTCACGTTTCTCTCGGGCACAAATATCAAGCCCTCATGACGATACAATGCTCCCCTTTGAAACCATAAAATCGACATAGCTAGGAATCTCAAGTTGCTACTCGTACTATTTCCATGCAGGTGTGAAGCGTTCATTCGGTAACAGCAGACATGCATCAACACTCCCCCTTCCCCCTCACTTTGACTTGGCACATTTGTGTGGCCGCCTTACACAAGTGCGGTTCTGAGCGTGAAACCTAAAATAGTTCCGTGCACTGTGCACTGCAGGACCACAAAAAGTCCCCAGTTGCCTTCTTCGCAGAAAATAGATTAGCACCTGAACATTGCACAGTTCAAGGAAAACGATAAACGTGGACAGTGACTACTAACACAGAACAAAATCTGCTAAAAAAGGAAATGTATAACATCAATACTGCTTTTGTAAACATGCATAGCAAAAGTTGCACAAAGTTATGCAAAAAAAAAGAAAAAGCTTCCCAAACTAAATGGTAGTGGAATGTAGCCATAACAAATTATTAAGAAAAAGAGGTTTCCTAATGATCTCAAGTGTCACTAACTACAGCCAGGAACTGTGAAATGACAAGAAAAGATTCAGGAACACATCGTCCCAGAACTTGTAGAAAAGTTGGCATGTCCACAGTGACACTGAGTACCAGAAAAGCGGTGGATTGGCATTTAGGTAGCATAGTGTAAAAAACAAAATACCGGCAGTTTACAGAGATAATGAGCTCCTAGAAATAGCAAGATAAAAGCCAATCAGACTACTAAACACCAAAAAAAAAAAAAGCCCTGGAAAGCTTGTCTTGTCCTCCATAGCATCACCTGACTCTCCAAAGGCATCAATCAAGTTGATGCCCTGAAGGATGAGCAAACAATGACAACCAGGCTGTGCTGAGTGAGGAGTATTGTAGTGTCCAGGTAGGTCCAGGTGACACTAAATAAATGATGATAGGTACTTTTAAGTGCTGCCATCCTTAAACTCAAGTTAACAACAAGATACATGGTATTAACTTTCTAAACAAGAATCATATTACCCGAACCTTGCCAGTGCTGATGAAGAGTACCAAAGTGCTCAGTTTTCTCTCTAGGATCACTCCAACCCAAAGTAAAGCGTCATACTTAAAAAAAAGGAACAAAAGATTTTTTTTTTTTTTTTTAGGGATTAAATTAAAGTTTTGAGACTTTTTTTAGAACAAGGTGGCAATTACATAAACCAACAGCTTAGAAAATAGATGCTGTGACTTCTTTGTTCTCGGCCGACAAAGAAAAGAGAGTCCACAAATGTTTAGGCCACGAATACTCCATTTCACAGGGTGTCTAGCAAATTATTATTTTGAAATTCCCTGACTTTTCCAGATTTTTCCTCACAATTTCAGGTGAAATTCCCCGACCACTGTAAAGGCGGTTAAATATATAAGACCATTACAACACAAGGCATGGAGCATTGTGAGGATCATTTTGCACGGGCTTAATTAAACTTGTATATTTCAAAATATTCAAGTTCGTCCAGTTCGGATTAAACAAGTATTATTTTCTTGCCGCCGACATCTTCAGTGAAGAGGCCACTTTCGGAAACGGAATGAAAACAGAACGCTCAACCACAACAACAATAACCGAATGGCAGCATGGCCGCCAGATGCATACTTTCGGATACTTTCGGCTTAAGGCTTGGACTGGATTGGGGTCTGTGGCTTTCCCAATTGTTACTAAGTCTCGTAGCTCTAACTGGATCTAGCCTAGTGTCGCGCCCTCACTCCAATTCAATCCAAGGCTTGGACTGGATTTGTCGGCTGTTCCTTTTGCATAAGGTAGCACACTCTACATTGGGTGAGTAGAGCCCAGACTTCGCACTAAGCAGAATTTATTGCCTATTTCTCTGACCCCAAGTCCTCAAGTCTTTGTCAGGGCACTCGATGGCGTTTCCTGCTCATTTTCCCTGACTGGGCTCGCTTTTTGACAATATCCGACAATTCCCCGATTTTTCTTGGTAATTAAAATATCCCTGATACTTCTCGGTTTTCCCTGTCGCTAGACATCCTGATTGAAGCATAACTTAGGAAGGTGCGAATGCCATGGCCCCCATGAGCCAACTTGAGGGACGGAGTGAAGCATATGACAAGAGCTCTTCACGGGAGGAGTGTATTCCGGTGGAATGTTGATGCTTGCTTTGCCGTCACTTTTAACTGGTTGCCGAGGCTGTAGCTTCAGCCTTTTTCCGCTATGCTGAAACAAAACACAGCTGCATCCAATTGGTAACAAAAATGTAACACTTCTGACATAGCCCACCTTTGGGGACTGGCTAGGCTGTAGCCTCATAACTCTTCTTTCCTTGCCGTTGGAGGACTCTTCATGAAGTCAACAAGGTCCTTGGCAGCCCTCTTCTTCCTGTCATACTCAGCCACGAATTTGCCCCGCCTAACACGGGAACAGAAAAGGCATTATCAAAGGCTTTTCAAGAAACATTTTCACATCAAAACAAAAAAAAATATTTATAGAATTTAATAATAAAACTTAAGATAAAACTAAAGATAGTCAAGTGCCGACTGTGGTCTTTCCAGAAAGCCATTAGTTAACCTGTTAACCTGAATTTTCCTCTCATTTGTTCTTTCCCAGATGTACTTGCTAATCGTTGTTTCCTCCCTCCCCTTCTGTAATGCTACATGCTTTGGGGGTAAATGAATGAAATGAAATGAAGTAATTCTGATCCATACTTCCTCAAAAAGGCAAAAAAAATTGTTAAATGTCTGACAGTCCTCCACTTTCTCATATCCTGCCTTTTCCCTTTCATATACATAAAATGAGAACCAACAGTAGCAGCATAGAGATGTGCTATCCAAAGGAATGAAACAGCAAACAAAAAGACAATGATATTGATGAACACAAAACTTCTTGATTATATGCCACACAATTCTTCACCTGAAATATTGAACTGTAGGAAGGCTTCTGATCTTGTACTTAGTTGCCAGAGACTTCTCCTCGGCAGCATCCACAGCAACAAGCACCCCAGGAACCTGAAAGTTTACACATGTCAGCTAAACAGTTGCGACCATATACCCACACAGCAACTTTGCAACATGCAAAGTGGCAGCCATAGTGCAAAAATAGGGAGGAAGGAACATTGCCGTCAAAGCTTGCCAAATCTTGAGATCCCACCTTAAGGAGAAGCTGTAGCGGTTCTGTACTTAAGAAAAGAATGCCTAAATCATATTATTTTTTCCTCCAGGATCATGATTATCAAAATGTTTTAGTGAGGCAATACCCATAAATACCCATAGAAGCACATTAAGAGTGATAAGGGAAGATACAATCAGTGCAAGAAGAAAATCTGAAAGGGAATGCGACATCATTAGAAGCTTACGGAGACCCCACGCCTTCCTAAGCACACAATCACACTTAAGTGTGATAGCTTTATGGCCTTGCACAACTTTCATGGTGGTGGCTGCAAAATGCCAACTTTGCCCACAGCAAGGTGCTCGGTACTCAAAGCACTTGTGAACCTTGAGCACCAAACAAACCTATACTCTTGGCACTCTTGGCTTACTTAAAAATGTTACAATACTGCCCTCAATTAAATAACGCAAGCATGATGTCCATCTGGTGTCCCATGTATGCAAGCATGTGCAGCATGCACATGAGTGTAAATTTAGTGGAACTGCAAGTGTGCATGCTAGCCCTCTAGAGCAGCAAGTGCTTGGCAGCAACCGGCTGCTGCTTTTTATTTGTTCTCATGTTTGGTACCATTTTTTGGGGGCAAATTCTAGTCATCTTTATATATTCACGAGATAAGAATATGCTAGAATTAACCTCAAACTGATTTATTACAACTCCTTTAGCTTCTATTTAAAATATTGGGCCTTTACCCAGATGTATGCAAGTGCCCACCTTTTTTTTGTTTTAAGTAATTTTTAGAATTATCTAGAAGGGGCACCATACTATAAAGCAAGCATAAACTTGGCTTAGCTAACATCCAGCCCTCCACAATTTTTGACAATTATATGAGTAACCATGCCTCCTCAATTTTTCAACAATTATTTGAGTAACCTAACGGGTTGCTTAATATGTAATGGGGATTACAATTGGTTATTCTAGCAATTACGTTAGAACTGATGTTGAACTTGCAAGAAATTCTTTACACAGCCTCTCGTGAACTGTATGATCTACCGAGACCATGCCAGCAGTCTTCCTGTCTTGCATTTGCAAAGTTATGTAACCATATGCTAGTTCCTGATATGTGCTCTCTAAAAGTAAAGTTCACACAATTTGACACTTTTCTAAAACTGAAGAAAAGAAGATGAATCTAGATTGTACAAATCTACAACTGTGTAGACTTGGCGCATTGTTCAGCTATTTCTTATAGTTACCTTGAGACTGCGGAACAATAAAGACGAAAGCAAGTATGACAAGTGCGTACTGGCTTAAAAAAAGCCTAAAAGAAAACAAAAAGTTTAAACAATTTGGTTGGGACATGCATGTAAAAAAATTAATTTCACGGGAAAATGTTTTTCTTTTAAAGCAATACTGACGACGCGAGACCCGATTTAGTTGGCAGTCATCTCCTTTCCACTTGTTTTCTCTCTTGGCATTTCGGGTGCACGGAGGAGAGGTGGATCGGCTTCGCTTTCACGACCGAGATGGTCACTCCTGAATGACCCGTGACATCATGAACTTCGCGTGCAGAATTTCAAATAAATCTTTTGCCATCAATATTGTTCTAAAATCTTTTTTTTTTTTTTTTTTTTTTTTTTTTCGCGTCAAATATATTTTTTGACCGCGTGTCTCAATTAGACTGTTTAAAAAGAAACATGTTTTTCTTTTCAGGGGACCTTTAAAGGGGTGCTGAACCGAAATTTGGATTTCACAAAATAAGGCCACAGGAGCATTGAATGGGACGCTACAAACTCCTAAACATCACTCATACATTGATATCTCGAACAGATGGCCGTATTTTTGGAAAAGAAGAGCGCCATAAAGCGAAGAATGTGACATGACTCTCCTGGAACAGTTGAGAATGAAGGGAAGCCGCCTTGCTTTTCTCCTCCTCGCTTCGACCCACCTGCTCGAGGGAACGAAGTGAAGAGGAGAGGGAATGATAATCGTAACGGGAGATGTCTCGTTGGCCTTGTTCAATTGTGCACTTCTCTTCCAAAAACACAACCATCCATTAGATAACGATTAGGGATATTGCTGTATCAGTGATGTTTTGCTCCAGCCTTGTTTTGTGAAATCCAAATTTTGTTTCTGCATTCCTTTAAACAACATGAGCTTTATGGCTTTTGCAGCTCTTTAGGTATTCTTAAAATATGACCAGTGACTTGGTGGGTCAGCAAAGCAGTGCACAGCCAGAAAGAGAGAACCAACCTTCTGATCATGAAGCTTGAGGGCAGCTTCAGCAAATATTGGCTTAAAGTCTTTGCAGAACCCACACCCTGGAAAGATACACGAGAGAATTTGTTTGACACAAACCATCACTTTCCAAGTGCCTTAGCTAAAGCTTGCTTCGTATTTTTGTGGACAATTACATTTCAACCAATATTTATATTGTGTCATGCAAGAGAAAGAAACCCTCCTTTCTGGCTTAAGAAAGGAGCTTGATACTAAGCGAGCGCCTTTTAAAATGTGATCGAGAAATATAAAATTTTGTCCACTGCTTGATCCAAAAAATATGAACCATAATAGGTTAATGATGTCATGCAAAGTATCCTGCTCATTTAACTTCACCCAAAGCAGGCAGAGCCAATCATTCCAGTCAATGAAAATCGGCTCTACTATAAAATCTGCAGGAGGATTCTGAGTTGACAAACATGATGATTCGAGTCCCAGTGTAGCAGACGGCTCTTGTGGGGACAGTTTGGCCTCTGCCATTTGCAGGGGGTACCACTCCATAAGTTGCAATAATTAGCTCTATTTGCTCTGTACAAACAGATGCACAAAAAAAAAAAAGAACTTTTGTTTTTAGCAAATTTAGTATGTCGACAATTGCGTTGCAAATACACAGTGCTCATCTTTATCCACTCCAACAAAAGACCAAAATACTATATTTTTCGTATGCATACACAAGCCACAATTGAAAAATTATGCAAGAGGCATATAAAATATAAAAGCTCTGTGTGCCATAGAAATTGTGATAAAAACACTCATATAATGGAAATTGGTAACTCAATTTAAATATTCTTATATATATATATATCATAACTGCACTTGAATGCTACTTTGCTTAGTTTGGCAAACATTCTCATCCCACTCCTAATGTAGTTGAACTGCTGTCATGTTGCGCAAATTTAGATTAAAAACCTAGTAATATTAAACCATGGTTCTTAACATTATAAAATAAAATTTACAAATGTTTGATCACAACCATATCCTTTTTCATCGCGACAATTCCATTTCATGCTTGAGCAGTCAGGTTGCACCGCCTATATTTCAAGATCTGTCTCACGTCATTATGGTTTAAAAGCGTTGCTGCGTTAAGAGTTCTTAACCACACCACTAAAACAAATTATATTTTCTTTTCAAACCCCATCTCATATCTCATATTCTGTCACTATCAAAACTGAGACAGTTTTTGCAAAATACAGACTCTTCTAAGATGTCAATGCCAACTTCACATTTGCTTGTAAATTTCAGTCTGCTAGGGATTATAAACTTTCAAAAAGTGAGGAAAACATCTGAAACAGGGAGCAAGTGCTCCCACGCACTCACAGGAGGCGTAGAACATGACTAAAACGGAGTCCTGGCCCTCGACGAACGCCTGGAAGTCCTTGGTTGTGAGCAGCTTGACATGGTCTGCTCCAGGCACGTCGGACCAGAAGCCGGGAGACGCTGGGGCGGGAATGGGTGGGGACGCGGGAGGAGCGGTCGTGCTGGCCTCGCTCTGCTCTCGAATGAAGCTGACAAAGTCCGCAACCTGGGTGCACGAGACGAGATTGTTGAATATACAGTAAAACCTCATTATAACAAAGTTGAAGGAGCGGTCGTCAACTTGCTTTGCTCTACTCGCTAATTGAATGGCAGCGGTGGAATGTCGAACTCAAAATTGTTGGGTCGTGGGCTCGATTCCCTCTGGGGTGTGCTTAGAACTTCGTTCTTACTTTTCAATTTACCGCTCTTTTGTAAAAAGATTGTTCTCCGCTTTACGTGTAACACATTTCGTAACGTTTTCCTTGGCCTTCCGTCACCCTTTTCTCAGGAATCCCAGCCCTATCAAACGCATTCTGCGTTCAAAAGGAAAACAAAAAGCAGTCGGTGGTCAGTTACCCGAGTGGAGAGGAGGTGGGTAAATGAGTGGGCATGTGAGCGGGCAGCACCTCCTAAATGAGAATGGCGCAGTGCTGAATTTTGAACGTCACCTTAAGAGGCAAACTCGGGGTACTGATTGGATTCGAGTGCTGAGTCGGCGTTCGGCTGAGACTCGTTTTCGATCGGCGAGGACATGAGTGCCCAGCCGAGCGCTGGTGCAGCAGTCGTGTCCTATCAGTAGCCCCCTGTTAACTTGTCTAGGAGGCGCTGAAAATCCATCCCTTCTATCTAGGTGTTGTTGGGGCATGTGAGAGAATAAGTGAGAAGCTGAGAAAAGGAGAAATGAAAGAGAAAATGAAAGTAGGAAGACAATATGCGAGGTTCGTCCGATAATCACCTCGCAATACGTGTAGGTAAATGGGCTGCAAAGCTGCCTCACATACTTAAAGACCAACGACCAGTTCGCGCTTTCCACTTTTCCCGTGCTTCCTCCTCTCCCCCCTTCTACTCTGTCCACCGTTGCCTGTTTCCTCCGCTCCCATGGTGAGGAGGATATTCTGCCTTGCAGAATCTCAAGTCTGGTCGTCGGCCTTTAAGCGAAAAAGATGAATGACAGCCTGCAAAGTTTCAACCTCCGGAATCTACGGCAGATTGCAAATCTTCTATAGTTTGACGTTAAATGAATTGTCTCTTTTAAAAAGCTTCACAGCTCTAAACTTTTATAATCAAAATATATATTCCTATGTACTTGAACCTACATTTCTAAAAAAAGAAAGGAAAAAAACAACAGATTTTGCAATGCTAAAATTTCTAGAAATGCTTTGAAAAGACCTAGGTACTATAGTCAAAGAACAATTAGGTATTGTAAAATTCTGAGTGACAGCCCAGCCCGAAAAATTGCTCATCTCGTCTTTCTGGCTAAATTTTCGTACGCCGAAAAATACTGAACATCGCCCAGTCCATCAAAATTATGCAATGCCTGACGCAACTCCTTGGAGCTGCCCTGCTTTCTTCTGTTTAAAGGGTAACTCCGGTTAAAAGTCGGACCAAAATAAATTACTGATATTGATTTACGAAGAATAAATGGGAGCATTGCCAAAATCTTACATTAATGGGACACCACAATCCACTCTAAAACTGATGTTAAAACTGCTACCACGAGCATCTCAGCAGGCATTCAGCGGGTTGGCTGTTTGTTAAGCAACCTCGTGTCCCAATGTCATGTTCATACACAAGGAGGTTACTTGTTCGTACTGCCACTTCTTTTGCTGCGTTTTTCTGCTGAATATTTAGCCGTCTCAATGACCCATTTCTGCTTGTTATGTCATGTTTTAGCAGCCGCAGTTTGTAAGTGCTCTCTGGCAATTGCGCACAAAGATTAGTGACTCCCTGCTCGCTAAAGTGCGTTGTGGTGTCAAAGGTGGCATTCACTGGCAGCCATAGTTTAGTCCATACCCGCTCAGCCCGAGCTTACAATTAGCTTCCACAACGTTTCTGCATAGTGCATAGCACACCACCAAGATTGTAGCTCCTCTCAGGGCCCGTTTGCTCGAATTGGGTTAACTTTAACCGCGGCAGAAAGTTAACTGCATTTCTTTACGAGGGGGAATTTTAGGTCATGTGACCGGCAGGGTAACGACGGCAGGGAAACATGGTGGTGCCCCCCCAGCGAGCGTTGCTTGCTTTGGGACTAATATGTCGTAGTAGCCGAAATATTGGGTGCAGTAGTCAGCGATAAATGGTGCAGGAGGTTTTTGCTTTGAATTAACTCACTTGAATCGCAAAGCAAGAGCAATAATCTCGCCTCATTTTTTAGATAGTCTTTTGATTCTAGTCATTCCAGTAATTGTCGACATGGTGCGCGTCTTTGGGATACTAGCGGATTGACTTGACTCAATCTGCCAGGTATTGATAGCATGCAGAAGCAAACCATGTCCCAAAAGACCTTTTGCTAAATTATCCACGCACCAAGGGCAAGGAGCACGCTACGAGTGCAGCTGCATGTGCTGGTGTCTGCAGTAGTAACTGTTCTAAAGCAAAAGCCTAAAACAAATTTTACCTTGCATGCGCGTTCTTCAAAGCCTTACTTTACTAAGATTATTTACTTTGAATCTTTTATACAGGGAATGCGAGCGTGCGCAGAGTGCAAAATTACAGTTTCAGCATTCTCTCTGATCCTTGAGTAATTTAGTAAGCGGTCTGCTTTCACTGGAGCCGGATTACACGGCTTTCATTTTATGAATGTTTTATATACAGTCTTTACAAGCAGGCCAACCATGCTTCCCATGTACTGCCCACCTTTCACTGCTTCACTTCTTTCTCATAGTTTCTAGGACGGAATTTCGTCGTCCCCTTTCGAACTTGGAAGGAAATTTCAACGAGGCCTGTCTTCACATCAAACAGCAGAACATTGAGCAATTTCTGAAAACAAACATTCCTAAGCTCAAATGTATGCCGCACTGCGCCACGAAAACCCAGCAGCGCATGCTCTTGGGTCTGCCCTTTTCGGGAACTTTTCCACGAAAGCCACTTTTATTTGCCACAACCACTAGGTGACACCAGTTACCACCCCATAATAAAACACGGAGCTACCGCTCATCCAGCCCTTGTCAAACTTGGCTAGGCACTTGTAGATACCTAGTAGGGAAGGGCAGTTAACTTTTTGCCGTGGTTAAAGTTAACTGGCTATGAGCAAACGGGCCCAGAAGATAAGTGGGAGTTCATTCTGAACTTGCGCTGAGCCTGAGTTCATCATGGCGAACTCGCTTTTCGGCAGGCAGCTTTATGAATGTGTATTCAATAATTGCTACAGGTGTTTGATATCTAGAAAGCAAAGCAGCAAAACAGCTATAACATCTCACCTCACTGATCTAAAATGCTCTAGCAGCTAGGCCGGTCATACATTTCAGGGTACCACAGCACAAATATTGCGTCCCATGATGGCCATGCAGCTGATCACAAGGGTTGCACCATGCTTAAGCCAGTAGTTTCGGTTTCGCCGTAAACACCCGAACCAAACGCTTGAGATACTATCTACAAAACTGCATAGACGTCGCTGGCTTCGCTCCATGCCTCTTTTGTGCGTCACGCATGGCCAATTGTGCTTGCAATTTGCCCCTCGCTGCTTCTCTCCAGGTCGAACTGACCGATATTTTGTATTTCCAGATCGAAATAATGAGTTTGTTTTTCAGTACAAATGTATGGTATTTTGCCGGGACCTTTGAACAGGGTCGATAACTCGAACTAATGCAAGTCGACCGAACTAACCACTTGGTAGTTCTGGCACGACTCACATATTTGCAGTAAATAAAAGAAAGTGCTTACTCCTAAATAAATCAATAACAAAACCACAATCTCTTGTAAGAGAAACCAAAGGCTCTCACAGTTTTGGCCCTGTTGTATTCCGACTGTGTCTTTAGGTAGCTGAAGTACTTGATGGTAGGGTAGCCCCCGACGTCGTATGCGCTGCACACAGCGCTCTGCTCTGTGCAATCCACCGCTGCAAAGGCCACCTGAGGCAAGAGAACCCGTAAAGAAACACATGAGCTGGTCTGGTGGGTACACTGCAATGAAAACATATGCAGGAGACAAAAAAAAGGTCGCACACAAATGCTCAAGGTCAACTTTACCAAACTATCATATATTTCAACTGTCACACGGGACAACCGTGTCTAATTTGATTATAAAAATGACGCTAACACTGAAATGCCATTTGGAAACTCCGAAAAGTATGCAAGTCAATTACTTCTTTTAATTCTTAGACAAATGCAATTTTTTAGGTGTCTAACAATCGCATTTACAATAAACATGAAAAGACTAGAGAAGCTGTGGTGGGAATGGCTTTTCATGTCATTCTATTTAGCATTCAGAATAATTTTGCATTTCAACACAGCCTTTCTACTTACATCTATCTGTATAGCGTGCTTCAGAAAACAAGCGACTGAGCCATACAGCATGATACGTATAATGCGAAGATGACAATGACATGTTTTTGCAGTTCGTCATACAGTTGAATGCTGAAAGACAAATTTTACCACCGAAGTCGATGCATAACGTTCATACATTTCTCTAGTCTATTAGTTTTAATGACAGCGTTTCAACCGTGCAAAAAAAAAGGCAACAAAAAAGGCAATCATGTGTTAGTGCTAACCTTGTCGCACCCTGTACTAGACCAGACCGCGAAATCTTGTGATAAGCAAATGATTTAGTAGTTAATCTTGAGTACATCTGGTCTATACCTTTGGATCATCCTTGAGTTTCTCAGCAGCACCGGCAAATTCTGGCTTTGCTCGTTTGCAGTGGCCACACCCTGGAAAAGGCAGGAAGGGGAAAATAATTATTCGACTCCTGCACCACAGACGAGAAAGCTTGAAAGGTTGATGAGAATGCAAAGTCATGAGGCATTTTTGCAAAGTCATGAGGCATCTCATCATTCCAGTTTAACAAATGTCACCTTTAACTTGAGCAGCAGTTGGTTATCACCAAACAAATCATTACCATGCAACTGTGCAAAAAAAGAAAGCTTGGTATTCAATTCCTTTTGATTCTATAGATGCATACAGTGTCAGTCATGTCCGGTAAATATGGTCACCACAATTGCCCCCCCAAAATCATCCATAATGCGAGTCTTCCATGACACAGGATAAAAATGTATGCATGTATTAAACGCAGTCTGTCTCCAAATATTTCGTCTACTTAGTGGGGCATCAATGCTAACTGGGTTCACTGTAACGAGACGCGACTGTATTTGGAACTTTTTTAATATGCAGGCAAATGATCAAGAACTGCCACTCGTCACGGATACCGAGACAGACTCCCAATAACCCTGGACAAATATGTATATGAAACACTTCAAGTGAACATCCCATATGTATATCATTGGCTCCTATGTGCCTCCCATCAGTTCTGCACCAGCACAAGTGCTTCAGTTCCAGCTTTTTGGAGTCAATTTTGCTAACATATGTGGAGGGTTAGGAAAATATCTGTTTTGAGCAATTTCTTATGGCATATTCCGCTCGTGGATTTGGAGGGATCCAAAACCACTCCAAGCTCGCGCGTTTCAAGCAGCGAATGCTAGCTCACGTTTGCATGTGCATAAAGATACCAAGAAAAAAGTGCTCCGTAACCACGACAAATTTACCAGCGGAATTGGTCATTAGCTAGAACAAAACTGCAAGCCACAGCTTCACTTGTTCAGTTCTTGATATGATGACTCCTAGAGAAGTGGCTACGGATTAGGACGTTTTGCCGATCATCCCCAGTTGCGACTTTGGAAGCATTTCAAGGCAGGCGCTTTTTGTACTGCAAAAGTAATTTCTAACATTTGTTTTTTTCTTAAATAAAATTCAAAGACTAAGTCTGGGCCTGTTTGAAGACCCAAATTTCGACATGCTCCAGAGCTTACAGTTGGTGTAGAACATGACCAAGGCATGCTTCTTGCGCTTGAGGAAAGGTTTGAAGTTTGCCTCGTCCAGATGCACCACCTCGCTTGGCACCTGGCTCCAAGGAACCTCAGGCGGTGGCGGTGGCGGCGGCTCCTTGGGACTGCACGCACAGTGTGAAGAAACGTCATAAAAAGGAACAGGCGACTGAAATATAGAGGCTTCGGGACCATTACAAGAAGGAAGAGGCATGTGCGAGTGTTAATACATTTTGTTATAATTCAATAAATTGTAAGCAAACACGTTACTAACGCTGAGCACAGAGACTAACCAATCTCGTGTTTTCTGTTCATCAAGATATACAAAGACATTTGCATAACCTCGTGCCCTGCATCCCGCATGCTTATAACTTGATGAGAATGTGACTCCAGTGCCCCGTGCTATGGCTGCCTTATTCGAGAACCAGGTAGCATCAGCACGACAGAAATGCCCATGACATCAGCGATGGGTAACAAACGATACCGCACGTGAGCAGAGACCGGTGCATGCTGTAATTTTCCTAAGACTCTCTTAGTATATTCAATTGCGAAATTAAACACCTCGTGTATTCCTATTTGAAATATTTTAGAGAATCCTGCCATTCCAATTTAAGGTAGAGTTGAAAATCCATGTCACACAGAAATGGGAAAAGCCGTAGAAATCAACTAGAGTGGTTACAGTAATGCGAAGGTCAACTGAAGGCCTTGCATACATGCAGTTCAGTATAGAAGGATGGATGCAAGAGCGAAACAGGCCATGAGCAATGCATCTGTGAGAAATTGACTTGGACAGATGAGTAGAGAAAAAGAAAAATGAACTGAGCTCAAGTTAGATCATAAATCGTGAATAGCTTGTGTATTCAATAACTTCGCTGTAGTAGTTGAGTGCGAAAAATCGGATCACACAAAATCGAATTCGTGCTATTGCATATTGACATACCTGCGCGACAGTCGAGGTGTGCTAGGAAAAAGTATAGCGCCAAATATAGTATGAGCGACGTCAGAAACAGGGTTTTGTACATTGACCATTAAATTATCAAAAGGAGAAACAATGGCCGAGTCTGTTAGCGCGTCGCAGCTCGGAGCACGTGGGGCGAAAGCTCGCGCTGCAGAATCCAGGCATCATAAGCTCGATTACCAGATTTTTCTTTCTAAATAAAAATTGTTCAAGCACACGTTTGTGTACTAACCACTTTCGTGAAGCAATTTAAAGACACCAAGCTAGCGGTTGTACCGCCAGTACCGCCAATAGCAAAGATTGCTGTCGACAACAGAGCCACCAGGCGTTCCTTGCTGCAGGCTAATGTCCTGCTGTCCGAATTTCCCCACAACGAACTTAATTTATCGAAATATGAATCGCAACAATCACTAAACCACCGACATCGACCCCCGATCACGCAGCAAATGAGAGGCGTTTGTCGACTTTGTAAGTTTGGCCTCTTCTGAATTGGGCGGCGGCTTTTGCAGCCACGTGTCATTCGAAGGAAGCTCTCGAAGCAGCTGCGTTCCTCTCGTAGGACCAGCACGGCAGAATTGGCCACGCTTTTAACATGCGACAGCTGCAGTGCGTGGTGCAGCGGGGAGCAAAGATGGGAAGAGGAGCACAACCGAGCCGACTGAGTCCTTTTCACATCTGTCTGGGCACATTTTTCTGTGCGGCTCTAATGACTTAGCTCAGATTTTGGCTCTGTGAATAGAGCCACAGATCACATTTCCTTGACGGTAGGTTATCGCTCCAAGGCGGAACAATTTGAGACTCGGATCGAGCAAGATTGGGAGTCTCGGATCCTAACGAAGATCAGCGCATCTGTTGAACAAATGCCGAGGCAGCATTAAAAAGTTGTGATCACCCATGAAAATACTTTTTTATATACATACTCTCGCTTGCGTGGGTTCTTTCAAATGTTCCGATGTACGTGCAAAAAAAGAAAACAAGTACACGCATTGAGCGAACATAGCATTGAAAACAAAGCTCATCTTAGAGCGGAGTGACGAACACTCAATCAATGGCGTGAGCAGAACAAAAGCAAACAAAAGAATGCACGAGCAGGCGGCAAAGGCGGCACCGCATTCGCTGTGCCGCTTCCGCCATTGCCGCGCCACGCATTCTCAGTTTCTGGTTTAAATAATGTGTTAGTGTGCAACCTCGTGTCTAAATACAGTCTAAGCTCGTTATAACAGACCTTGATTTTGACCAAGATTTGGTTTGTTGTAAGAGGAGTATGCTGTATGCAGGTATGAAGTTGAGTCAATGATATGTAGGGGAAAACCAACTGAACTTCACAAATCGGTATGTTATATCTAGGGTTCTGCGTTTTCGGTGTTTATTTTTTTCTCGAAATTGAGGGTATTTTTTTTGCGGTTTAATTTTCTTCTCCACATTCTGTGTTTTTTGTGTAAATTGGTTAAGTCAAAACCAATTTACACAAAAAACACAGAATCTGTAGGAAAACATTAAACCCTCCCGAAAAATACCCCCGATTTCGAGAAACAAAATAAACACAGAAAATGCGGAACCCAAGTTAGATCCAAATTTCTGTTGTAACCAGGTCTGTTGTAATGAACTCAGACTGCAGCGCTACGTGACTATGTTGCTGCATCCAGGCTTTCTATGCAGCAACATAGTCACATAGCGCCATCGAGACACAAGGTTGCACACTAACAAATTTATTTGAACCCGAGAATGTGCAGCGCGGCGACGGCGAAGGGACGTGACGGAGGCAACGGTGTGTCGACCGTTGCTGCTGCTGCAGTACTTCTCTTTTTGCACGTTCCATGAAGGCAACAATTTACGTAAAGTCAATTACTTTTCAACCAGAAAATTCATAATATCGGCCATTTTTGCTCTGTGGGGCCGTGCAATCGCTTCGTTAGACAGAAATATTGGTTAAACTTGAATTTGTTTTAGTACTCAGAGAAACCCATTGAAAACATAGGAGATTGGCCATACTTTATTTTACTTCGTTAACTGGCATTTTTGTAGTAGAGGCATTTGTTATAAAGGCGTTTGAATGTAGGATGGAAAGCAGTTGAAAATTAAACCACAATGCAGGGTAAAATGACTATGATGCAGTGTTTTAAGAACGACAATGTTGTAAGCTTTGGAGAGCTCAGAACAAAGAAAATACAGCTCAAAAAGTGTGGTTTGGGGAGTTTCACAAATGTACTACTTAGAACTCAATGGACATAGTATGATACACACTCACTCTTTCATAAAGTCCACTATCTTGGCAGCAGTTCGAAGTTGCACATCATAAGCATGCTGGCCGTTCCTACACAAAGCAAGAAAAAGCATACCGTTGTTGTGGAAAGCACTTGAAAGCAACAAACATGCGTGACGACTTGTACAAAATGACACCCAGGTCTCTTAAATACCTACATCTCAAATCCAAAAGTGCACATATGGTGCGATTGTGGTACAGGTACACAGCACAACACTGTTAGCACAAAGAGGACTTTGCCATTTTCTCAATTTTTGGTAAACATGTCATTGGAGAGCATAAAATTTTACAGCCTAACTTAGTATCCTGGGGAAGCCCAATCTACACAATAAAAATTTTGATGATAGTTCTTCAGTTGTGAGTGACAGAAAAAAACGAAGATTGCCGGCGAGTGCTAACAGTGTAGCGCTAAAGACGGAGAGGAGGTACGAGGTAAACAAAATTGTGGTGGCAGTACCCTGGCAGCCTATATACAAGGTAGATGATCTCTTGCTTCCATTTCTGTTCAATTACTCCTGTTACTCTCCCTCTCAGCAGTTTCTCTCTTGGCCATTGCCAGAAATTTGATGATTGCTTCCAGGAAGTTCTCATTTCCTTCGACTCCATCCTCACTTCCCTCCCCAGAGCACTTCTACCACGCATGTGCCCATTAGTAGAGAGTCATGACAACTCGTCTGGTCTAACCCCATGGGTTAGACTAGAGAAGTTCCTGATTTCCACACATCCCCCTGTTTGAAACAAAACAGAAAGCTGTAGGTGCCTTACTCAAAATACTTGACTGTTGGGTAACCGGAGACATTGTACTTCTTTCCAAGTGCTTTTTCCTTGACAGCATCTACCGCAGCCAGGGTCCCGGGAATCTGAAAGGTATTGGGCATTCCTCAGATGATTTCCCAGAACGTTTGGAGAGTTCTGGCATTCTTTTGTTTACTTGTCAGGCTGCCTCAACTGAAGCGCCAATAACAATTAACAGCTTTAACTTGCTGCTAAGAAGAAGATCACCTGTTCTTTCTTGAGCGTAGCGGCAGCTGACACATACTCGGGATGCATCTTTTTGCAGTGGACGCACCCTGCGGAACGATAGCATCCAACACAAGTTAACATGGGAACATGTGCGAATATGCTAAAAACTTTCTAATATTTCAAATGTTCCAGCGTTCAGGTGAGGTTTTTTGTGCAAGAAACATTTCAATGTTGTTCTAAACAGACCTTCGTAGTGGATATATCATAAAAACATAGGGGTCCTCCATTACCTTAACTAGTGGAGAGTTGCAATTTGTGCTTGCCAAGTGTAGTTATGTTACTATATTGATGTAATTTGAGGTACAGAGTGAAATTATTTTTATATTTTCGTACATACCATTAAATCCCGTAAGGACGCCCACCCAAAATGAAGAGATAAATCGTGAAAAACATGGGGTGGGCTACCTTCGGGGGTGCCACAACAAAACTGTATCAGAAGTTGATAAGCGCCAGGGCACCCGCTACAAACCACGTGACGCGGGAAATGATATCGCAGACATGGCAAGTTTGCGTTTCACGATGCGATAAACACGCGGGAATTCGCTACAAACTCCTGTGTCACGGGAAAGGATATCGCAGGGGGCCGACACAGCAGATTCGCGTTTCACGGTGCGAAGGGGAACTCTCAGCTTGAGGTGAACTCTCCGCCGAGAACTTTTATCTCACGGGACATATATCGCGAACGCAGCAGATTCAAGTTTCATGGTGCAATAAAGACGCGGGAACCCGCTACAATCTTGCCTCTCACGGAAACCGATATAGCGCGCGCAGATCGCAGACAAAAACACGGTAATACGCTACAAGCTCGCATGTCGCAGAAACAAATACTGCAGATTGCAGATGCAACAGAATCACATTTCACAATGCAATGTACACGTGGGAACAACTCACGCATGTTACTTACACACTTACAGCTAAAAATCAATATCGCGCCCGCAGATGGCGGACATAAACACGGGAATCCGCTACGAACTCGGGAACAACTAGTGTTACGCGAGCCGATATCGCAAGCAGATCAAAGACAAAAACGCAGGAACCTGCTATGAACTCGCCGCTCGGACACACCGGTACCACCGATCGCGCCGTTGATGCGCATCGCTTGATGTCCAACGGGGATCGGGGGGTGAACAATGTTTCGGAATTTTTATGTTACAGATATTTAGCCAGAAAAACGGGATGGGCGATCTCTCAGGGGAGGGTGCCCTTACGAGATTCTACGGTATGTTGATTTACTTTGGCAGCTAATTAGCTTTGGGGGAGACATGACGGTGGCATTTGTTTTATTAAAATCTGACTTTCTTGATTAGGCATGCACCAGTTTGTCCGTGTCATCCAAGTGAAAAAAAAAAGTAACAAGTTCAAATGCTCATTTTATACTGCAACTTCGTTTACAGGCGAAGTACTTACAAAAAGTGAAATTGAGTAAAGGAGACTTGTACAAACCTAATTAGCAAGAGTACATTTTTCTAATATTTTAGTTCATACAGTCTATAGACATTATTCAGTTTAGTATTCAAAACTATTCTAGTGATATGACTTCAAAATTGGGCAATCCCTAAAGCACAATTTTTATGTATTAAATATTTTATTGTTGTAAACATTGCAAGGACAAAATTCCCTATTAATTTCAAATTGTGCAACAATGAAGGATTTGGACTGCATATTAAAAAGAAAACCAAGAGTGGTAGATGGTGAATTTTAACCATGATGATTTTAACCTGAAACCGGGGCAAAAGGAGGAAGAATTTTTTAGCGGAAGAAAAAGTAAAAAGAAAGATGTCTGTCCCTGTTACTTTTTCTTTCTTTTCAACACTTCTCTCTCTCTTCTTCCGTTAACGAACTATTCCTCTTTCTGCCTCAGTCTCCGGTTAAAAACATCCAGCCGTATTCACCAGTCAAGACTAACTAGCGCTGTTTTAAAGTTAGTACCGCGTCAAAGTAGTTGCAAACTAAGAGAAAAAATCAGCGACTAATGATCGACTAGTTCTGCAGTATCCACGAGCGCGAAGCGAGCGGGCGACTATCTAGAAATGTTACTAGGTTACCTCAGCTGTGGAACTCCTGCTGAAGGGGGTGCCCCCCCTCACTCCCTTTAATCTGCCTCCCGTCGTTTTAAGCGCCATCTAGATTTTCGTTTCATAACTGTGTATTCTATAGAGCAGACGTTTGAACACCACCTAGATGCTGTGTTTCAAAACGTATGTATTCAATAGAATACATATGTTTCGCTATGCCGGACGGCATAGTAGCAGTCCGGCGCGGCGATTGACGGGAGGCAAGTCGTGGTGATTGAGGGGGGGGTTCTGTTTGTGCAAACAGCATCTATGAGCACTTCCGTAACTGAGCTAATATAATAATGTTGCTATCTAGTCAACGTTATTAGATTAGCTCAGCTACATAACTGCTCATAGACGCTGCTTGCACGAGCAGTACCTCCCTTTACTCACCACGACTCGCCTCCTGTCGTTCGACCCGCCGGACGGCTGCTATGGAAACTACAGTGAATTCTTCTGAATATTTACGTTTCGAAGCACGGCGTCTAGATGGCCTTCTACCGTATCCTATGGAACAGACAGTTCGTAAACGAAAATCTAGATGGCGCTTCGGACGACGGGAGGCGGACTGAAGTGAGTGAGTGAGTGAGGTCCCCTTCTGCGGGAGTTCCACAACTCAGGTAATCTAGTAACGTTGTATCTAGTCAGAACTAACAAGCGGGAGTGACATAAAAAGATAGGTCACGCATATGCATACTTAAACGCCGCTGCGTAAATTGGTATTTCATCGTATAAAAATTAATATTTAAATGTTTCTCAGGAAAAAAAATTATAATGAGGTACTAAACGTCCAAAACAATTTTACAAAAGAAAAAAAAAAAAGCAAGGCAGAAACACGGAAGTTGCATTGCCAGCGACACAAAGAAATATGGAAGCGCCCGTAAATGCGTTTTTTCTCGTCGTTCAGTGCGCTGCTGAGATCTCTTTAGTGATGTCTCTGACTGTTAAACATGGTTATTTGCACAATATTTACTCCTCCAATTCTTTCTAGATCTGTCCCCCAGTGTTCCGAGGCAAAAAGTGCTTGGTTAGCGCTGGCGGTCAGCCAGCGCTAAGCAAAGCACTGAGCCGTTAGTCGCTCGCTAAACACCGGCTAAACTAGCCCTACCCTATGACTAAGATCTGTTAGTCGACTTCTTAGTCGCACGGGGCGACTAGGCTCTAAACACAACCGGTGAATACCAAGTGCTTACTTAGCGGCGGCTGTCGCTCGCCATGTGATCATTTTAGTCTATGATGTCAAAAGTCAGTGATTAAACAGGCACGCGCCTGGTGAATACAGGTGATCATGGTTAACTTCCACCAAGTCGCCTGTGCACTGACTGTAATTTAGCGAGTTTTAGATTTTTGTTCATTCAATTAAAAAAGAAGTGGCATTATTTAGTGAGACTATGACCAGGTGATTTACTCACAGGTGCAGTGCAGCTCTAGCAATCATTTACAAAAATGCACTAGGGAGTGTTTTCTCTCTTTTCCCATTGTGAAAAGATGAGTCCAAGAGAATGTAATTTTTAATCGAGAGGTCAGATTTACCCAAAAATTTTGACTAAAGATATCAGGGATGCAAATGCAAACAAAAAGTTGGTCTTACTCAGAAACAAACAAAACTGATTTGCCAGCACTTTCAAAGTTCTAAATGCTCACAGACAGTACAAAGTTTTGTACCAATTAAAAAACATTAAAAAAAATTGTTCTCTAAAAAAAATGTTTTAGATTGACAGACTTTTATTATCATATCCTGAAGTACTTTTGTGAGGTGTCTTCTATCCCCTAAATATTGACTTGAAAACATTATAAAATGGGTCTGCACATGTATTATAAACATTATTATTTCAGTGTGAACTATTCACACACTGCTATTTTATGGAACCTACACTTGCAGATGTCCAATCTTCATAATTTTTTTTTCTTTCTCTGGTAGGTGTACGAGCAAGGTATCCAATAAGGGGTATAAATATGTTGTATATATAGCATAAAGATTTTTTTTTAGATGCCTTTTATACTTTCTGCAATAAATAATTTTGAAACTGAAAAATTAAAATGACATAAAAAAAAAAAAGAAACATTATCCTCAAGCTTTTATTTGTACCTTATTGGATTGCACGGACAGTTTAGTTTACCGAGATATGCCTATTTTCTGATTTCAAAATTTGAATTTGTCATAGCTCTTCCCATAATTTTTGGAAATGAAACTTTGAATATTAATGAAACTACTAATTTAGCTACATTGCAACCAAGTACATAGTTGTAATCAAATTGTAAAGGCAGGTAAGCTATGTAAATTTTATTTGTAATGGATCACGAGGTAAAAACGTCAAGATGTTTTTACAGCTTTTTTTTCCCCTGTCACCTTTTCAGTGTTGTTTTTGTTGGAAAAACTAAAGGTGCTATTATATAAAAAGCTCAAGAAGCAGCGCTGCCGCCTTAACTTGCAGTCGATTCATGAGTTTACGACATGGGTATGGTTGGTCCGTAGAACCGAGGGCGTTGTGCATTATGTCGGAAGATCTGCAAGAACTTACATGGGGCATAGAACATGACAAGGAGGGACGCTGTGCTCTGTAGGGCATCGTCAAACGTGGCTTCCGTCAGATGCACGACATCGCTAGGGGTGTCTGACCAGGCCTCTTCCTTTGGTTTTGTGGCCTTCTTCTCCGGACTGCACGGAAAGGAACAGAAAGGTCTCTTTCAAAACGGCAGTAAAAAGAAATGTCATCAAATGACCTCCCGATTCCTTGTAAACAAAAAAGAAATTAAATTAATTCCAGAAGAAGCTCAACCACCTGTTCTTGTTCTCCACTATCCCACTCAAGGCAAGAGCGTGAATAGTAAAGAAAATCAATAACCAAAATGGCCACTGAAGGTGTGCCAGTAAAAGTTTCATGGTCGTGTGTCAGACGCCGGCTTACTTTTTCATAAAAGCCACAATGGCTTCCTTGTTGTTTTCACCTTCATACTTGTGCTTCAAATTTCCGGCCCTGAAGGAACAAGAAGAGATGGAGTGAAAGATTTACGAGGAGTCACTATTACTCTCAGAAGCTTTATTTATACCATCACATTCAGGAGAGTCTGTGAATAATCTGTGTTTTTAAGCATTGCAGTTCAGCAGCATGTGGAGCAAAGGCTTACAATGCACACTTCAAGATTATGAGCTCAAACCTTGTTCCTATCGACTTTCATAAGATGGACATTGTTCATGTAATCACTCCAGATCAGCAATTGAACTTCAACAAACACTGGCAACTGAACTACTATATTTGCAAAGTGGTTACAAACGCAACTGCATAAAGATCTAATGCAAGTTCAAGTGCATTTGATAATGAAAATGAGCGGATCCACTCTGTGGTCGTGAATCAAATGCCAGTGTGAGTGCAGCTTAAAGCAGAACAATTCCCCAGGACATCAACCTCCATAAAGCAAAAGTGACTCGACGAGTCACATAGGAGCCTTGAATGTAAACACATTGTATCATATCTATTAACAAAGATACCTGTCACACAGATTAACAATGATGTCTATTCTGTCTCCGAATGCAGGCAGCATAAAAGGTTTTTTTATAGATGAATTAATTTCCCAAAGTGCAGATCACTTACTCAAAATAAATCAAAGTTGGAAAACCGGTAACATTGTAGTGATGCCGAACCACGGCATTCTCAGGCTTGCTGAGGTCCATGGCAGCCAAAACCTGCATATTGCAGCAACTCATGATCAGGATGGTGCAAACATTACTGGACGACCAAGGAACTAGTGCGTATGGTACAGCTCGATTTTTGCTGCCGCAAGTTTGCATGTGTAAGATAGCAATTAAAGTTCATCATCTCATCATCTGTAACAGGGCTTACTATAGGCCAGGGGTGGCCAAGCTGCGGCTTGTGAGCCGCATGCGGCTCTTTGAGTGGTAAAGTGTGGCTCGCGGCTTCCCCCCCCCTTCCCCCACTCCCCCCCTCCCTCCCGGTCACACCAGCACTTTCCCAAAAAGAGAAACAGAACACGTTTTACATAGAAAGACAGGTTGCGGTTTGGTAGTCTTGTGCTACTGCTACCTTACGTACCCTTGGACTGCTTTTGACTCCCACAGATTAAAAGAAGTTCCAGTTTCGTGAAAACATATCAGCTTAATACAAGTTCTTTGGAGAAGCAGAAATTACAAGTGTATCTGTGCCGACCAGTTTACTAGGCTGTTTACAGTAGAAGTTAGGTAATGAGACTGCAGCCGATAATGAGCCTGCACTTTGAACCACACTTTACATCTATATATGCATTTCGCTACCAATAAAAGCTTTTCATAAAAAAAAAAAAAAAAAAAAAATTAAGGACAGATTGCACTGCGTCAGAAGGGCAATACTGTCAACTTACAGAGTGCCCTTTCAGCTCGGTAGCAGCCTTGGCATAGTCTGGCTTTAGACGCTTGCAGAAGACGCACCCTGCTCAGAACAAAACAAAAATGGTGGCTGACTGCTTTCGTATTTCACAGTAACTTAGTAGTACCGGTAGCCCCTACAACAAAACAAAATCAACTGCACACCCACAGTAAAAGCTCAAAGATATTGGGGAAGGATCAGGTCTAAGCAGTATAGAAAATGTCTCAAGACCTTCCACTGCCACAGTGCACCTCAATAAAGTGTGTTGTGGACTATTGCAACATTCATTTTTCCAAGCGTTGATGATTCCAACAGGCAAGAGATCAAGGTAGAGGGACATATATTCCAAGATATTTAAAAAAGCCACACCTCAAGCGGCTATCCAGAAACTGTCTAGAAGACATTCTAAAGTCCTGCAGCAAGGGCTACATTAATGTAATGAAATTGTGGTGTCATAAAGATTGTGATTATGACGGTAGGAATCACTAAACGAACAGCACATTCAGTATGCCTTCAGCAACAAACTGACAAAATCACTTGCTATTTGGAACTTTCAATCCCCAGTTTCAAAGAAAATAAACTCAAATGACTCAAATGATATATAAAATGGTGGTGTGTAAGCAATAGCATTATGCTGGACAAGCTTAGATAATGTGTTGCTTACAAACCGTGTGCTCAAAGTTCTATCTCACAAATTTAGCTTCAATCTATGGGACATTAATACAAGTTTACAAGCTAAACATTTTCAGCAAGAACTGTGTCAATTTGCTGCAAAAAAAGAAGGAAAAAAATATTGAAGAGAAGCGAGGCAGCTTTTAGTAACAGCGGTGCTCAAAGGTACAACCAGTGCAATACCTACAGGGTGCATAGAACATGATGAGGATAGGTGATGTTTCTCTCTGAAACAGCTTCCTGAGTTCCTGAAATTGTGTTAACATTCATCAATACATTGCTCCTAACATTTAAGATCATGGTACGAATGAAATAAAATCAGTAATGCACAAAAATAATTTTGTCTAATAACTCGTACCAGAACAATAAGCAAGGAACCCAAATTTCGCGCATTAAAAGCCTAAAAATACCTAGATAAATGTATGTAGCACAGTCCTATGCAAAATGACAAACACAGAATCAGAAGTTTGTCTGCTATCACTACCTCAGTGACAGCAGGGTAATCCCCTGTATGCCAACTTCCTGGGCCAGCTCACCACAATCACTGGGCATGAAGCAGGGGAGATCTGCTGCCATCAGGGGAGCATTTGCATATAAATCCTGATGCTTATGATGCCTTGGTGAAGACTACATTAAATACTTGCAACAACATTGGGGCATTTAACATTTTAAGGGTTGTCAAACTAGTTCCACTCGCTTAGATGCTAAACAATGCAGGGGCAGATTTATGGGTAAGGCTTGGAGGGAGGGAGTCTACTGAGATATGACGTTATGGCCGAAACACTGCCCAGATCAATTTTGTTGACCCAAAATTTGCTATGTCACCAAAAGCGCTATTGACGACCAGGTGTTTCGGTGGCGCCATTGTGTGCTTCTTACCCGTGACGCCACTACCAAAACCACAAGTTGTGAACTGTACAAGTTCGATGGTGTGTTAAATTGCAGTGGCTTAGCTTGGCTATGCTAGGATATATGTAGCGTAAGCTTAGGTTCAGCTGGTTATTCTTAGCTTTCCGAGTTGTCTAGGATTAGCTTGATTATCATGCTTACTGCTGCTTCAATGACACACACACGGTATACGCATTATGTGACTACTTAGGGAGCCGATGAGTTAAGCTGTGCGCCGTGTTGTTATGTATCAAGCAACCAAGCTGCCGCACAGAACCACCGGACAGCGCGAGCCATGATCTCGAGCGGGTGCGTGCGCGTAGTGCGTGCATCGGGGATTGACACGTGTGATGTCACTGCTCCTCGCGCATGTGCAGCACGGCTCTCCAGGAGCCACGCAAAACTGATCAACCTCAGCCAGTGTGGCTTACGCTACAAAAACTAAACTTTTAGCTGGTGTACTGTCAGACCGGTTATACTGAAGTCGGTTATAACAAAATAGCAGCTACAGCAAAGCCGATCACAATCTCCCATTCCCTTTCAAACTTTGTTATAACCAAAGTCGGATTATAACGAAGTGATTTCCGATTCCCATTGACTTCGTTATAACCGGTCTCGACAGTATATTCATTTTTTCATTAAAAGAAAGTTGACCCCCTACCCCTAAATCCACCCCTGAAACAAATGTCATTGTTCCTTTAGGTATCCACTTATAGCTACACAAGCGCACAGGTAGACATTCACTCAATAAATCGAAGCACATGAAAAATACTCACACAGTGCTCAGCGCTGTGCAAGTGTATTTTTCGTGTGCTTGGATTTATTAAGTGACTGTCTTCCGGTGCGGTGGTATCTGGATCACTGAATTTTATGTATATTGTAACCATGTCATTTGACTCTTTGAAAGAACATCTGTATAAAACGTGTGAAGACATTTACAAGTTTTCCCAGATGGGACACGGAAGCACAGCGACGCCAACAGCTCATCTTGGTCAAGGGCACCGTGCACAACTTGTAACTATGTCGTATCACGTGCAAGCCTTCTGTCGTGAAGGGACTGAACGCTTAGGTCTGCCAAAATAGAACTACCTATAGCTATAAAAATGGCTGTGACCAATGCGTCTATCGTATGTGATACAAATAAGCTCCCACTGTGCGTTCTCGATTACATCGCTATAGGGTAGAAAAACAGAGTTACATATTACAGATGCAAACCTTAGACCTGTATAAAAGGACATTACATGACTGAAGCAACTGTGTGATTTTTTGGGTAATTCTCGGAACAACAAACTATGTGGAAACAAGTAAAGCCACTTACGTCGCCGTCAGGAACGTGAGCAACATCGACGCTTTCCTCATCTTCCTCCCAAGGTATGTCCCCAGTTGGGTCTTTCAGAAAGTTTGACAAGGACTTGCAAGGAAAGAACACCAAGTGAGCACACAAATCAAACGTGTTGCAAATAGGCACACACAGATGAGCACTCGCACACTGTTTAGAGCAAATATCTGTCACATTACGCCTAAATTAATTGTGTTTGTTGAATCAAAAAAGGTGCAGAAATTAACTCTTGGCTGAATTCAGGCATTAATGATGTGAGTTGCAGGGAAGAAATAAAGCTACCATAGGCTTCACTTTCCAACAGATAGAGACCTTTACCTTTGGTGTCAGTTTTCTGTCGTAGTCCTTGTGAAATTCTCCATCTCTGAAAAATTAACATTGAGACTCGAATGACTTCCGACATTCCGCTAAGAGGCTTAGCTTCTTTAGGCCCAAAAGAACCAAGTATATTTGAAGAATGTCGGCTGCGATACCGGGGCTTCCAGGAGGCTCTCTTTTCAGTTTGTATTTCTACAAGGTTCTGCTGTCTCAGTACCTTGTTTAAGTTTCCTAAAAAGTATAGACGATAACCTACACTAAAATAAACCACAAAAAAAAAAAAAAAAAGCCTTTTACAATTCCCTGTAACGCTGGTTAGAGCGCAGCTCTTGAGGAGGAGGATGTAAGTGTACTGAGGGATAGGTGACTCTTGTGACGTCAGGGGGTAACGTGACCTCAGGGGGGGGGGTCACGTGGCCTCAGGGGGGGGGGGGGGGGTCACGTGGCCTCAGGGGGTCACGTGACCTCAGGGGGGTCACATGACCTCGCGGTTACGCCGACGGGCTCCTAGGAGCTGCGCTCTAAAAGTAATTAACAGTGTCAATTAAAGCAGGTTTGCACTCTAAAACAAAATTGCTAGCTGCTTCTAGACCAGGTCCCTGAGAGCATTTCTAGTGCATAAGTACTGAAAATAATATGTCTGCTGATGCTATCTTTTAATCTTATATCTTCAAAAGCTGGGTCCTTTAATTTATTGGGAATGGTCTAAATCCCACGAGATCAGACTCCTGAGCTTCGGTAACTCATGCCCGAGACCTACGTGTGATACCAAATACAACACAAAGTAACAATAACCAAAATTAATAAATAAAAAAGAAAGGCTGTTTTGTATTTTTATTATGAGAAATTCTATTGCATAGTTGAACCAGAATCATCATAGGTATATGGTTGTTCTTTATTATCTCTCTGACATAATATATTATACGTAAGACACAAACATCTGAAACAATGGCTTGTCTTTCTGGCAAGTTATGGGGTTGATGTTTTACAACTAGGGTTTTGTGTTTTCAGATCAATCCAAAAAATTTTGAAAAACACTCGCCAGTAAATTTTTAGTCAATTCAAATTTATTAGAAAAACTGAGAATTTCAAGGTCACAAGAACAAAATAAAAAAATAAAAAAGATGGTGCTTACAAATAAGCTTTATAAGAGAACAGGGTCAGTGGGCCTGAGGAGACGTGACTTCCGTTTCCTTTAAAATCTAAAACTGCTGACAAAAGGGGTTTGCCTTTTAGCACATGAACGTTCCTTTAGGACAATGGGTCATGGTACCCGGACTTTATTTATTTTGTTTTTGATATTTTTAAATATAAGAGCACTGTAATATAAACTTTGAAATTCACAGAGTTGGGAAGCTAACAAAAATAAACTGAGATAAACCTAGAATTTGCAGTGAAAAATAAACTCCGAAAAACAGCCTCCGAATTTCACAAGAAAAACTTTGAAAACACATAATCCTATTTATAACTAGCATACATCTTACTACATAAGTAGATGACAATCTAAAAAAAAAAAGAAAAGATAAAGGGCGACATTCCAGAAACATTCTCTCCCCAAGTAAAGAAAACAAAAAAACAAACATGTTTCACATTTTGTTGTGAATGGCTCTTCACAGCAGAATTAAAACTTACTTGTAATGTTTTAATATAGCCCCAGCATCTGGTACAGCCTTCAGCTTCTTGCATAACTTCTTGCCCTCCCTAAACAAAAATAAGGGTTAGAGAGAAAATACTGAATCGCATAAGGTTTCACCTTGCTCGTACATGCCAACATACAACCATATATACTAGGTCAAGGGTGGCCACGCTGCGACTCGCGAGCTGCATGCGGCTCTTCGCGTGTTAAAGTGCGGTTCCCTTGCCTCCCTCTTGGTCACACGAGCGCTTCCCCAAAAAGGGAAATAGAATGTGTTCTAAATCGCAAGACAGGTTGCAGTTTGGTAGTCTTGTGCTACTGCTACCTTACATAGAGTTGGACTGCTTTTGAATCAGATAAATTGAAAGTAGTTAGAGTTTTGTTTATTGCTCCAAACAAAGTTTACCACCCCCCCCCCCACAGCTCGTGGAAGTTTTATAGTTTTGTTTGCGGCTCTTAAGCCGTGTCAGCCTGGCCACCCCTGTAATAGGTGTTCCATCGGACATCAGCCAAAATATTTGTCTAAAATAGGTGCATTGCACAGAAATACCTCAATGAATAGTTATCCTACTTAAATAGCATTTGGGATAACAAAGTGTTTAATTAAACTTGCATAATTATTATTTTAATTGGGGAAGACAAACATAGTTTCAATATTAATAAACTTGGCAAATATCATTTTAAAAACAAAATCAGTAAATTTTAGAAATTTTTGGAGTGCATGTTTCATTTTTCTGGACCCCAAAAATGCGTCAAATTCTAAGGCACCTGCACAATTTTTCCATTTCTTATCACCCACATTATCACCCCGCTAGCCCCATAAGACAAACAATAAGTTTTGTGCACCACCACCCATCCCACCGCTCTAAGCTCCAAGTCTTCCTAAGATAAACTTATCTAAGGATTTTCAATGATTCTGAGCAAGTTTATAGTTGGAACTTTGTATTCATTTTTACCAACTAAAAACTTCATTATTCAAGATTAAGACCTTCATTATTTGAAACACTAGGTACCTAACTAAATTGGCCCCCGGCAGAGAAAATTTGGCAGATGTTCAGTGAAACACTCGGCATATGTACAAGGCACCACACACAAGTTATTTCATACAACTTAAATTTGATGACCAAAAACAACATGCACCAGACAAGGCTTGACATTTAGTCACTTATAAATTCTGTGTTGCAGTTTTGTCAACTTATTTTAACTCTTTCCTGACCACGGGAAAAGTGGCAATTTTCAAAGGATCTGTGCAAATGCTTTTATTTTTCTAACTAATTTGAATGTGGAGCAATATGACCCATCAAAAAGTGTTTAATTAGGTGTTTTTTCAAAAGAAACAAAGAAAAATATAATGTGAGAAAAAGATTTTAAAAATTTATTTCTTGAAAATATAATGTATGTGCAGAAGTTCTATAAATTCAAAAACTTCTACAGCTATGTCAAAGTAAACGACAAATAAATAAAAATTTTGAATATACAAAATGTGCCTCACACCTATAGCTATTACTTCTGAAAGTTAGTGTACTAACTGATGTTGTCTATTTTTGGTTCGTCGGAGAGTTAGCCTACGTAACACGTGTGCTTTTCAACGAACGCTTATAAGGAATGCTTACATTGGTAAAACAAAAATAGTACACCTCACATCCCGAACAGACTGCTTCCTTTGTGTTCTACCATGGTTTCGTCATTGCAGCTGGATTGCAGTTTCTTCATATTTAGCATTTTTGTCCACCATGTTGGTTCATAAAACGTGCTTGCCGGCTCAGGACAGCATTGGAAATTATAGTGATGCTTACCAACAACCATCTGTTAAGCGACATCTATAACATCATTTAAAGTGACTCCAGAACTCTTGAGGCCTAATAAATATGCCACAATACAGCTGAATTATGTAAATAACGCCATCTTTGTTATGAAGACTGATGCAAGCAGTTAGCCATGTTAGACAAGTGCAACCACCATTCCCAGGAATGTTTTTGACAGCCCACCAGCTTGTGGTAAAGCTCAGACCTACATTTAAACCGAAACTACAGTTCTTTGGGCATCCACGAGATTGTGGAACATAATTCTCTGCACAAAATTTAATTTCTTGACGACGCTAGGAAACCCTCGATTACCGGTCATCGATGGCCTATGGGTGCGGTCAGGAAAGAGTTAACTTTAGAATGTTTAGTCTTAAATATGCAAGACAGATTCTTAATAATATTTCAGCTTTAATATTCAACATCTTTTGTTTGTACTGCACAGAATACAACATGCTAAACACATTGTTTGGGTGCTATATTTAATATAGAAACAATAAAATTCAATTAACTTGATCATAAAGGGACCATTGGGCATACTTGACTAGTAAACAAATATAAAATTAAAAAAAAAATTAATTCATGATGTTTCCTCCATTGCAACAGCATAAACAGACAAAATCTTCTAGGGATAAATTAAAAAAATGAAAGCAAATGTTGCCTACCCACTGCAGTCAACAGATGCCAGGGTGGCTTGGCCTTTCAGCTCTAAGGCCACATCACTGCATATTTTCAGAGGTTCCACGGCATCTTTTGCTGCCATATAAAATAAAATCAGCATATCAGACAACTCCCATTTTTTTATTAGGTTTCACTGATCATAGGAACTGAACACAAATATTTGATAGAAATTTGGGCATTTGGAGAACAAAAAAAAAAAAAAACATCTAGGTCTCAAAACGTAGGGCCCAAAGGTAGTGGAGCTTGTCTGGATGTTAACATAGCAATTGCAAATAATAATATGTGCTATAACTGCCTTCAGAAATCTTTTTTCTATTTCGTTCTTTGCCTGCAGCTGTTTAGTTTATGCTATTCCAATGTTTTCTCGGAAATTATGATTGGCAACTTCACACTTCACAAATGCTACCCAACAGCACCTCCAACTTTAGATACCTTTATAAGGTTTTCAGTGCTTTCCCAAGCTCAAGGTAGAAACACCGATAAGCAAACTGTTTATTTTGCGTTTTGCTAATTGTTTATAAACTTGAAACAAATTCTTGACAAAGAGTTATACAGCACCCCCTCCCCTCGCCATACAAAATAAAGGTGGCTCTAGAAGCCAATTGAGTTTTTTTGGTCAATTTATGGATGAACATTGCACAAAGCATGTTATAAAATAGAAAAGATGTTTCCTTTAAGATTTCACAAGTAGATATGAAAAGATTGGAAGTGGATCCTAAGTGAGAAGTTACAGCTTCTCACTTAGGAAAGATGGGTTCTAAGTGAGAAGCGGTAATGACAAAGTACCGTAAAAGCGCCCATTTCATTCAAGTGCCCACTTTTAATATTCCCAAACTTGGGAATTCTGCAAATTATACAATAAGCGTCCGATTTGACCGGACAAGCGCCCATGTCTAGATTAACCCAGTTTTCAGGATGGGTGCTCCCTTGATATTTTACGGTACTCACTTTTTGTTTACTCTAATAGCAAGCCAAGTAAGATACCTTTGAGCAGTCTTAGTACAATATGTTTCATTATATGGTAAGTACAAAATAACATTTATGATTATATCTGGTCACAAAAATATTATAATAATGACAACTCTCAAAATGCAGCATCACACACACTCACCAGAAGCCGATAATAGTTTCTCCTGGGCAAAACTACTCACCGCTTCGAGTGTAGAGGATCATGACATTTTTCTTTGTGCGCAGGAGCTTTTTGTACTGTTTCATGTCAACAATGTCTTCAATTAAATCGCGTCCGCTTGATTTCTTGGCATCAGCTTGAAGAGTGCATAGTAAAAGCTAGAACAGAAAAGGCAAAACGGCAAATCATCTGTATACATAGCTTGCATGTGACGTCATTCACAGACGTGCCAGAATTTTATGTGCTGCGAGTGTTCGGTTCGCTGTGTTAGTTTCACACTGCAGAAGTTTTAGTTCGAAGAAACCAGTAAGTAGAAATAACCGTCAGTTTTTGCAAGCTATATACATATTGGCGACGAGATCTTTTGGTGGCGCCGCTTCACGGGCACCCTCCTGCGACACAGCTGGTAGGATGCGAGCAGACGATGCGCTATGTCGAAGCATGGAGTGGCTGTGTTAGTTTCGCATCTATGTCGATTAAAAACGGTTTATTTATTAAAGAAACATGTATGACGTTTTTGTGAGTGATCTTTCTAATGAACAACAGTGCCTCGAAGATGCTTTTTACATAAGAAAAAACTTTCAAATGTTCAAAAATAAGCCAACTTCACATTACAACTTGTGAGGTGTGTATCAGGGCTATCCACAGTTTCTCAGATTAGTGTTTTTTTGGGGTCTGCGGCGGCTGCTGTAGAAAAAGGTTTAGCATCCACCAGAGGAAATGATGTGCTGTCTTCTTAGCTGAGCATGCGTGCACAGTTGCGTTTCAAAGCATTGCACACTTGTTTTAGCTGCATTGCGCTTGCTGGTACTGACGCATTTATCCAAGTGTGACTCGACAGTTGCTGACGAGCATATGAGTGTCAGCAACTGACGCTTAGCTCTTCCTGCATTGAAAATGTGGCAAAGAAGTTTGTCACATTGCGAATTCTGCTAAAAAGAAAAGCAGAAATTTTCACAAATTCTTAAATTACCAGACATGGCCCGGCAAATTCAGGCGATTAATTTGTTCTATCCAATTTTTACTATAGAATTATCTACAAATTCAAAATCACTCACTGTGAAGTGCATAATGCATTATGTGCATTTGGGTCTACAAAATTAAACATACAAACAATAGTAATTCATGGCAGGAGTACTTCTAATTTTTTGGGATGCTGAAGTGTCACCAACTTACTAGATTTAGGACTTCAATCGCAAGGGGGTCTGGCACGTTTTGCATCGACAGGGTGAATAAACAGGGATTTAGTTGAAACGATTCCGGAAGCCAGCCACCACCTCTTCCTGCCAGTTATTTTGAGGAAATGTTTGTTTATTAACTTGCGAAATTGAAAAAAAAAAGAAAAAAAAAGGAATCAACTTGGAACTAATAAGAGACCAGCACTCACAGAACACATTGCAACCAACAGGATATACAAAGTCCCTTTCACTAAAATGTTTGCTACACATGCGAGAGGTTCTCGAATTTCACTTTCTTTTTTTTTTAATTTGATGAGAAATTCTTTTCTCAGTTTCATTTTGTCCAAATCATGATAAAGAAATGCACCCTATTCGCCGTGGTAGATGATGTAGTGGGATAAAGCGCGGGATATTCTATTTTGATCCTCCAGCTTTTTCTACTGGGGTAGAGAACAGCACACCACCATCCCAGCGCTTCGACATCTCAGTGTCAAAAGTGTTTGTAAGCATGACTACACGGCAGAGGTGTAGACAGGAATTTCTTTTTTTTTTGGGGGGGGGGGGGGGGGGGGCTGAGGTGCCTGAAATGTCCATGACTTAGGGTGCAGAGGGTCAAAATGCATGTGTATATTATAGGGTCGGCTGGATATCGGGGGAATGCTTAAACCCCATAAGCCCCCCCCCCCCCCCCTCCCCCCCCACCCACCCACCGGCTACGCCCCTGCTACACGGATTCAAGCTTCAATAAAATGCCCTACTACAAATATCACTTCACCAAATAAACACAACGCGTGAAACAGGCTTTGCTAAGAGTTACCCAAACAGCGCATGAAGCGAGCCGAGGAGCAGAGGGATCCAAGATCTGCGTGGTCTGTCCCAGTCTGTCCTACCCGTGACGTCACAAACGATGATGATGACAGCTAGAGAAGCGCCCCCCCGAAGTTTGCGTACGCCGCCTATGTAAGTAAGGTAATCTGTCTTTGTGTGTATCTTTATAATAATAATAATACAATAATAATAATAAATTATTATTTTTATAAAAAAGAGCCACGGCGCCATGCATTTCACAGTACACATCGCACACGACCACACGCTGCTACAATGCTTATCCAGACCGAAACAAGCAGCCTGCTTGTTTCGGTCTAAATAAGCATCAAAGCTGCGTGTGGTCGTGTATCACATGCCGCTCTGGGTTCTTTCTTCACTCCTGCTTCAAGCATGGGTGAAGAATCGAGCGTGCTTTCGCTCCACGTGCTTCGAGTTGCGATGAGACAACACACTCGGCAACCGAGTATGCTATTAGAACACTCTTTTGAGTGCTTGAAACAGTGTGTGTTGTGTCCACTTTTTTTGTTCCTAAGGTCTCGGAAATTAAAGGGGCCCTGCAATCATATTTAAAGGGGACCTGCAATGACTTTCTTACTGGTTTTTATTTTACACCGAACCTGAGCGCACTGAACGTAGTAACTTAGTGAAATTTTTCTTTTCTCGAAATTCACTTTATTTTAAAAGTTATAGGCAAATTAAAATTACAAAAACAAGCAAAAAATAACCTTCCTCATGATATCCTTGGTTGCTTGAGTGGCCGTGAACTAGAGGAGGAGTAGTGAGCTCAGCAGAGCACTCACGGCTGCCGCACTCCGTGTCGACGGCGCGAGAGGGTGCCACAAAAGCATATTCTGGATAGGCTGTATGCAGCGGTCAGCCAGAGTGGTTCTCATTGCATTTGCTGCGCGATTAAACACAAATTCGGCATGACACTTTATTGACTACAATCGACAGCAAACACGAGGTAAAGATCAGTTCAGAATGGGAGCCACTTCGCGCTGCCATACCGCGAAACGGCCAAAGCGCAACACCCGGATCCTCCTGTATATACGACCGCAGCGCCGCCGCGAACATCCGGGACCTTTTCGTGTCAGCGCCTGATCCCAATACCCCTTTCTAGTGTGCGCCGCTTTTTCAACCGCTTGGTGGGGGGTATGTCGACGAGTAATTTCTTGTTTCCGTACTTTATAAACTGCATTCATTTCTTTTCTTATCTTATCTAAAATACTGAAAAAAAACTACTTTTATAAATAATTGATACGGTTGGCGCCACTTATATTTTGTATTTCGACTAAAACTACACTTTTAGCGGCTCTGACCAGTAGTAAGCCCAGGACCAAAGACGTCACATTTTGCGCGCTTTCGGTACCGTGGGTCGCCCTCGTCGGTGGAGGAGGTTTCCGCGTCGTCCGGTTAAGTATGACGCACTGATATTTAGTTGCCCTCTCCGTGCCCGCTAGCTTGCCCAAACTTCAAAAGACGTGGAAACTGCAAAAAAGGTAGACTATTAAATATGATTGCAGGGCCCCTTTAAGCGTCTACCTTTTTTGCGGTTTCCACGTCTCTTGGGGTTCAAGCAAGTCAGTGGGTACGGAAAGAGTAACTAAATATCAGTGCGTGATATTTTAACCGGACGACGCGGAAACCTCCTCCACCTACTGGGGTGACCCGTGGTGCAATAAAGCACGCAAAATGCGACGCCCTTGGTTTTGGGCTTACTACTGGTCAGAGCCGCTAAAAGCTTCTTTTGAGTCGAAATACAAAATATAAGTGATGCGAACCGTTTCAATTATTTATAAAAGTAGCTTTTGTTCACTATTTTAGATCAGGAAAGAAACAAATGCAGTTTAGAAAGTGCGGAAACAAGAAATGACCTGTCGACATACCCGCCACCAAGTGGTGGAAAAGGCGGTGCATACTAGAAAGGTGTAGTGGGATCAGGCGGCAACAAGCGGCGAGCGTAGAAAGGTCCCGGATGTATGCAGTGGAGCTGCAATCGTATGGACTGGAGGATCCAACCAGTTCCAAGCGTTCCCATGGCCTTCGGCGAGCAGCTTTCACTTGCGGTTTGGCCTTTTAGCGGTATGGCAGCGCGAAGTGACTCCCGTTCTGAACTGATCTTTACCCCGTGTTTGCTGTCATTTGTGGCCAATGAAGTGTCATGCCGAATTAGTGTTTAATCGCGCAGCAAATGCAATGCGAGCCACCCTGGCTGCCTGCTTCGTACAGCCTAGCCAGAACATGCTTTAGTGGCACCCACTTGAGTCATCGACACTGAGTGCAGCAGCCGTGACCGCTCGCTGAGCTCACTACCCCTCCTATAGTTCACGGCCACTCAAGCAACCAAGGACGTCACGAAGGAGGTTATTTTTTGCTTGTTTTTTGTCATTTTAATTTGCCTATAACCTTTAAAATAAAGCGAAATTGGAGAAAAGAAAAGTTCCATTAAGTTACTACGTTCAATGCGCTCAGGTTCGGTGCAAATTAAACACCAGTAAAAAAAGTCCTTGCAGGGCCCCTGTAAGATGTGGAAAGATCACCAGCTCGCCTATATTCTATTTTCATCCGGCTTTTATCACTTTCTATCACTCTTTAGAGTGCTTGCAATATTATAAATAGAACCTGTCAACAAAACTCTGATAGGCCAGAGAAATGCTCAAAATAAAAAATCAGTAAAAAAAAAAAAGGCATTCCTTTTTTTTTTTTTTTTTTTTTGTATTTTCAGGAAAATATTAGATCCTTAGATTGACAAAATCGTGTGCCGTGGTTAATTTCGTGGTTAACACGTTTCAAAAATGAAATTCCCAGATCTTTGAACACGAGCGACTTGAGAAAACGCGCGTAAATATAACCTGCTAATTTACAAACAAACAACCTTAGCGAGGTAGGGAGAACCAGTTCGGTCAGTAAGGCCGGTAAATCGGTTTCCTGGCTTGGCCAGCTTGGCCGGTATCTCACGGAGTTCATCGGACGCTTCACACCCTACGACTGATAAACTCTACAGACAAGAACTGCCGCTGCTTTCTCCCGTAAGTTAGCGCATGAAAATTCCCCGAAGCTTCTGGGAAAATATTTTCTCAATTAAGGCGAATTACTAGAGTAGAAGAACTTACCAGCGCAAGCAGTAAACCCGTGTCAAACACACGCCAACTCACGGAGACCGCCATGATGTCCGACGGTTCTGGATGGATACGGATGGCTGGCAGTGGCTGGCAGTGCTGGCAGGCCAGCCAGAGTTAAAAGCAGTTCAAGTTCAGATTCAAAGTGATTCGATTCACTTTGAATCTTAAAAAAATTTAATAAATAATGCTTATATAAATTATTGAAGAGTAAATATTTATTTAACTGATTATTCAGAAGTTTAAGAGTTCTGTTCATTACCAAACTTCATCAGCTTGTGCAGCTTTGTTTCTTTTTCCTATTTCTGCCAGTAGGGGATGTCTCATCGCCCATCAATCTAGAGCGCTGGAAGCCAACGGCCGTTCGCGCGCCTCCAATCAAATAGTTGGTGGGTTGGTGCACAGTGGGTTGGTGTTTTTGGATTCCGTAGAACGGGAGGGGTAGGTTTTGTTCTTGTTGGAGGATTCGAATTTGGGCAGGTAGAAAGGTCACTTATCGAAGTTCCTTTATAATGCTAATGCTGTCAGAAAGCCGAAGTTTGTGACTGATTGTTGCTTTCTTTTTTTACGCCTGGTTTAAAGAATGACACTCCAGCTTTTTGGTTTGTTTGTTCGGTTCTTCTGACTAGTTCAAACGTGAACGTTATCAGGAGCAAGAGCCTGGCTAGGAACAGGTTTTCGAACTTTTCTTAATTTTGTATTGTTCTACAGCCGCTTCGTTCCGTAAGATACAGCGGGGATTAGGGCAATCCTCACTCGCAAACTTTCTAGCCGTAGTTCATGTTGAATTTACCTCATGTTAAATTCTCACTAAAGACAAGCAAAAAAACCTTTCTCACCTTGCTCACTTTGTATTTTTCTTCCGCAGATTTTTCTTCATGGCCGACAAGGAGAATGTGGTAACCAGTTCATTTTGTTCCGTCATTTCTTTGTCTCTCTGCATCCCGGAAATTTCGTTGTAATCTTTTTCTGCTCGGTATGTTTGCGCAGCCGTGCACCTCCAACGCATCTCAGACCACCGCCGAACCAAAGGAAGATCGGAAGCCGTCCGAGACCTCCAGCAAAAGGTGCGCTTTCTAGGTATTTTCTGCGTCACGTGCCAGCCTGCGAATGTTTGCGGTTTCAAATCCCGGCCGAGGTACCCTCAACGTGATGATGCACTTATAGTTTGTCAGACAATCCCTCAGAATCGCATTTCATCAGTCGTTTATGCAGCACAAGTCATTTTCACTCTAGGAGGCAATAGAGCAGAGTGTGTGCTGTACAGTTTATCATTTGCATATTAGCATCAGTCTTGAGCGTGTGCTGTTGGTGCCCCTGAACAGGAAGTGCTTTTGGTCCTACTGCTCCTGGTGGCAAACATGAAACGAGTAATTTTTCTAGGTCTGCCCCAGACTGGTCACTAAGCGACTTTGAAATTGGGAGACCCTTGGGCAAGGGCAAGTTTGGCAATGTGTACCTGGCTAGGGAGAAGAAGAGCAAATTCGTCATTGCCCTCAAGGTTGGTAGCCACATTTCTTTTCACCATATCGTTATTTTATGTTGTCATGTTTTTCCGTTCCTTGGGTGTCTACATTTTCCAAGATGCAGGGCTTCATGAAGCTTCTCTACTTGCTGACGAGGAACCCCTTAAGCACTATCTGACTAATTGCAAGCAGCGCTGTGCAAGCCTTGTGCAGGTGTACGAATTTCGAGTAGCAGGCTAACCACCGATGGCCATAAATGTGATGTTTGGGGTCCATAAAAGAGGGTTTGCATTACGCATTAATTTCTCTACCTTTGGTAACGCTGCACGCAACTGGTGAGATAGAATAAAGGGCGACCTTGGACTGGTAGCTGCCATTTCGCTAGTTTCAGGAAAATGCTTCCCCATTGGTGCTAGGTCTCGTATCAAAAAGCAGGCCACCAGTCCGCTCCTTAGGAGGTTTCTTTTCTAAGTTACTTCTGCCGGCTTCTACTACCCCTGTCCTTGGATTAAACAGCTGGCTAGCTTATTTTTCTTGTGTAATTTTGCAAGGAAGAAAAAAAAAATGGAAAAGACAAGTACAGGCATCTACACTCTTTTGTCATCCTCTGTTTCTTTATTCTTTCCGAGCACCACCTCCTTGGCACATGCTAGTCACCGTGATATTGTGCCGAAACAACTGTAAAACACGTATGACCTTCGGTTAATTCTTGCAAATGAAATCGGTCATTGTAAGCGTGAGGCTGATTTTGGTGCTCGCTCTTTCTCAGGTAATGTTCAAGTCCCAGCTTGAGGCAAATTATGTCAAGCATCAGCTACGCAGGGAGATTGAAATCCAGTCGCACCTGAGGTCAGTCTTCAAGATGCGTCCTTGCGCGGCCTGTCCGAAGCATTCGTTTTTTCGCGCTTAGAATTGACGCTCATTTGTTTTCTCCACAGGCATCCACATGTGCTTCGGCTATTTGGGTACTTCCACGATGACGTCAGAGTCTACCTGATCCTGGAATATGCCCCGGGAGGCGAGCTTTTCAAGGAGCTGACGAAAGAAAAGAAGCTTGACGACAAGAAAGCAGCCACGGTGCGTTGTTGTTTTAAATAATTTGGTATGCACTTACCTTGACACCCCAAAGCCACGGTCGAATGGTTGATTTGCTTACAAAAGATTCAGTGTTCGCTGCAGACGTGACTATTTGCGGACACAGCTCGAGCCATGTTCGAAGCATTTTGCTGCACACGTATGTGTGCTTTGCACTTGTCTACAGAAACATGCCTCGGACAGCGTCTGCATGCTGCCTTCTGCATGATGTGTTATCAATGCGACCATGGCTCAAGGGTCGTGTGAATGCCTCTGAGGAGCATTTGCAGCACAAAATGAAGGGGTTCGCGTAATCTTCTTGTCAGACATTGACCTGTGCTTGGATGCTCAGTTTAATGTCCTTGTATCGTGGCATTCGCTAGCGTTTTGTTATCTCAATCGTGTGCAAGACAATATTTTCCATGGTAGGCTGCACGGGCAAAGTGCCAAACTTCGCAATTTAGTATTTGTGTTCCATGCCATGAGCATACTTACCATTGACAGCAGTGGCATAGCCAGAAATTTTTTTTCGGGGGGGGGGGGGGGGGGGGCTGCTTGAATGTTTATGAATTGGGGTGTGGGGGGGGAGAGAGGCGGTCAAGTCAAAGTGCATGTATATATTATGGGATGTGGGAGGGGGGGGGGGGAAGTCGCTGAAGCCCCGTGAACCTCCCCCCTAAATAGGCTACTGATTGGCAGTGTTACTAAAACCATCTATGACTGGCTTCATATTTTGGCTGCTAAGTGTTGTGAACATTTTATGCTCTCAAAACAGTGCTCTTTCACCTATTTTGACAACTTAATGCTTTAGTTGCCTAATCTTGTATCCCCATGCCAAAGCACAAGGCTATCCAAGCAGGTGGAGCTTTTTATTCCTGACTGCACCAAAATTTCTCAGTGCCTGCAGCCTACATGAAGCCATGAAAGGAAGTCGAAAAAAGTGTCTCCAGAGCCACCAACCTCATGCGTAACTGAATCTGGGCACTCACGTGGCTTTTGCTCTTGTTTGCAGTATATCTACCAAATGTGCAATGCCCTCAAGTATTGCCATAGCAAGAAAGTGATCCACAGGGACATCAAGCCGGAGAACCTCCTTCTTGGAAAAAATGGAGAACTCAAAATTGCTGATTTTGGCTGGTCTGTTCATGCCCCGTCATCCAGGTATGTAATGACTGCTCTAATGCTACGAGGCAGAACTCTGTACTACATTTGGACAGAGTTAAGAACTACTTAAATACATTGTACTTAAAGGAGCAACAGTTTCAGTGCTTTTCTTAAATAATTTGGGAGTTGGTGTCTCAACCTTTCTGAAGTAAAGAACAAAACACCACTTTTGTCTGCATGTCCTAGTTTTTGTACTTCAAGTACTTTTTAGATACACTTTATCCAACACTGCACCTGTAGAATATGATTACCGACAAATGCTAATGAAGTGAGAATTGTTTACATCAGGCTTATTTGAAAACACAAGCTGTGAGACTGCAAATGCAAAAAAAACCTGCTGTTTTTTTTGTTTGTGTTTTTACGAGCAAAGCTTTTACACATGTCCAGTGTCACAGGGAGCACCACCACCTTGGATTTGGCATGACTTGAATGCGAGTTAATGTATAGTTCCTTTCATACTTAGTGCATGGCACCTGTCAAAGCTACTGTCATAAGCATAGTCCCGTATCTTGCGTCTTGTTTGCACGTGCCAAAAAATAGTGTACAGCAACTATCGCATGTATGCTACTCTATCTTGTTTGCTTGTGCTGAAACTGATTATAGTTCCGCTTATCTTCCGTAGGAGGGACACCATGTGCGGCACCATGGACTACCTGCCACCAGAGATGGTGGAAAACTCTGTGTACGATGAGCGAGTGGACTTGTGGGCTGTTGGGGTCCTGACCTATGAGCTGCTTGTAGGACACCCTCCTTTCGAGGCCAAGACGGCCAGCGAGACATACGCACGCATCCGCAAGGTGGACCTGCGTTTCCCCACCCACCTGTGTTCCGGAGCAAAGGATCTCATTTCCAGGGTGAATCTTGCTTCCTTTTTACAAATTCTATGCAGCTCGTACCTGTTTATATAAATTTTATGCAGCGTGTACTAGAGAGGAGAGATTGGTTTCCTATCAATGTCACTAGCAGATTTATTCTTATGTTGGCAAGTTGATGCATGGTTGGTACATGTGGAAACGGCATCCGGAGAGGCTGGGTCCAAGCAGAAAAGGCGGACAGAACAAGGACCGACCGACACCTGAACATTCACTGAAGAAACGACAACTGCTTAAGCAGCCACCAAAATGGTTGTCAGTCGGGTCTTGTCCCCTTTACTTCTTCCTCTCAGTCCCAGTCTTTTGCGCATTGTTTTCATACTTCATCAGATCTATCTTTTCGGGCTGGATCTCTGCCTGCTGCAAAGCCAAGGTTTCCTACTAGCCCTAACAGAGTGCACTGTTTTCTTTGTAGGGTGCCCTCTGGGCAGCACAACATCAAACATGTCTGGCTGCTTTATTCTGTTTTTTCCTTCACTATGCTCACTTGAGCGTAGTGAGAAAAAAAGAGCATAGTTTATGCTTACTTGAGCTAATTTGTAAGTGCAGCGTGGGATGTTATGACAGCAAGTTTCTTTTCTTACCTCAGTAGACGTTTGTTTCTAATGAAGAGTGTCTTTGCCTTCCTGCTTTTGAGTTAACACATTCTTAATGCATGCTCACTAATTTGTACATTCCTGGCAGCTCCTGCGAAAGCAGCCCGAGGAGCGTGCCACGCTGGATGAGGTCCTTGCCCACCCCTGGATTCAAGAGAATGCTTCTACATCCATTGTAGCTGCCACCCATTGACATTGCCGTTTTATCGTGATGTTTTAGTACCGAGACTTGCACAAGGCATTCGTTGATCGTGACCCGGATCAACCTCCACTGTGTATATAATTTTAAAATTGCTTTATGAAACTACAACTGCTTGGGTATATAATCTAGATATAATAAAGCCCTTTTATAGAACACAAATTTTGTTTTTTTTCATGGTGGATTTGCATACATGTAGCTTACCCTTCTCATGAGTTTTTGGTACCAATGGACCTATTCCAGTAGGCCTCTGCATGTGTACCACACTCTCCCTTGACCTTTGCTCTCTGCTCTCGCCATTCTTGGAGGCCACCATCTCGCTCTACCAACATCGCCGGCACCTATCTGTGCGTGTTTAATCTCTTTTGGCAATCCTTTTCTTGCATAGGTACTATAGGGCATAAGAAGCAAGAAAAACCAATGCAGCGGTATGATTCCAATTTTTCCGGATGGGTAGAGAAGTATGCTGTTGGGCTGCCCTTCGTTTGTAGTTTGCAGACAATCCTCCAGACGTTGCTCGCTGCTCGAAAAAGGTGTATTAGGAGTAGGCTGCTTTAACTTTGGAATAGGTTACCTTTTTTCTGGCTTGGTGCACAGGGGCAAACTGTTCTTCATTAAAATTTATGTTTTATTAAATTATGTTTCATGTTTTTAAAATGCTTTTATTAAAACACTAGTGGAACATGTTTTACCTAAGAATATTGCAAACCTGGGTTTCATGAGGGTGAAATCTATGTACATTTTTTACATGATGGCAGCTCAAGCAGACCTTTGGTTTGGTTTCCACAACAAGCCAAGCACTTGGACAATAAGTTTTGTCACATTGCACAATCTTCGGGCAGTTGTGACTTCCAGCACCGAGGCCTTTCCGTTTAGTAAACTTCTCCACTGTAACACTCCCGAAATTCTAGTCACTTAAAACAATGATCTCTGGGTACTCTGGAGGATGCTGGTTTTGACTGAAGGAACTAAGTTGGCCTTGTTCGTTCCATTTTTGAGGGGAGGCAGCATCCTCTGTTCACATTAATCTGGCAAGAACCAGATTCAGCTCGAGCTGATAAGGTAACCATTCTTCCTGGACACTGACTGACTTGACTCTCTTGCAGAGGATGCAGCCTGGATATAGATAATGCAATTTTGCTGCTTTTTTTAGAGCCAAAGTTCAAACTGGCCTCTTGATGGCTTGAAGATGGGAGCATTTCTTGTGCAGTATTATCGAGGCATGCCGCCACTGATGGAGTCGACTGGCTGTTTTAAATTGGCCCTGGTTTACAATACCACTCCTCATCACCACTGGTGTAAAAGCACCTGTGTGGTTCATTCCTCTCGGGGCATCGGTAGCTTCCTCCGCAAGATGGACAGTGTGGATAGTGGGCTTCTACGCACTTCTCTGCGATCCTTTCTATATGACAGATAAAGTGCGAGTTCTTCCGTGACCGGGCGGCGGTAGCTGTGGTGCATGTGAGAAGCAGCACGTGTTCTGTGCATGGTTGTATTCCTCGCCCTCCTTCAGTGTCTCGGGCAGTTCGTGGTGCAGCGTCTCTGGCAGCGGGAACGTAAGCAGAGCCAGCAGAAAGGACATTGCTCCCATCAGGACCAGAGGGATTGGTCTGCCGTAGATTGCCTGTTTCAGGGAGTAAAAGACATTGTAGTACACTGTGCCAAGTTTGTGCCAAGATTTTGCTTTGGATCATTATGTATCTGCCAGCATCATTCAATACGGAGTGGAAGTTTGTCTGGTTCTTTCACGAGGGTTGCTGTGAAATCGGAACGCCGAGCTCTGATTGAACGGATAGTGGGTAGACCTCGATGCTAGCTGCCTTGAGCTTTACCTACTCTCCTTCCAGTCGAGCCAATCGCAGCTTAGCGTTCTGATGTCGCTGCAACCCTGCACAAGTAGCCGACAAACTTCCGCTCCGGCATTTGTTGAGTCGGCAGTTATTGCGGAATTTCCAGTCGCTATTTTTATGCGCACTCGTGAACGCTGGTTTTGACTGCAGAAGCTAGTTAGACCCCTTTCAAACTACTGCCTTCTATTAAGCGCCGGTGAAATCCCTGCAGAGTGGCGGACTAAACCCTCAACGTCACAGCAAACTGGAAAAAACACACCCGCAAAAAAAGGTGATGAGAGTAGTGACATGGCACTTTCGACGCTGTTTCATTGGCTCGTCGACTGGTGGTGTTGGCCGCGCTCCGACGTTCGGTATCTTAAAAAATGACTTGCACGTTCCTCGATGCAGTTGTTCCGCCATTGTGCAGGGGTTCCGACCTTCTTAGAGTCGGCACGTGACTTTCGAAAGGGGTCCGTCTTCGCCTATTTTAGGAAGTTTAGCATGATCCATCCTTACGAAGCCAATTTATTACAAAGCCAACGTTAGCATTGTACAGGGCCTAATTTTCACTCTTGTCGATCATCAGCATAAAGTTAGACTAACTCGTTGCAAAACGAACACCTACTCATGCGTCTCGCATACTTTGAACCATTGGTTCTCAAGGGAGTCCGCGAAGCCCCGGCTCATCAGACAAGCCCGGCAAATAAATCTTTTTAGATTGATAAAAAAAAAATCATATTTTCGTGCGAGTTTTTTTGTTGTGTGTCAACGAGAGAGGTTACTTGACACTTGCCCTTAGTTACATCCATTTATTAAATTGGCATACTTAACCTATACCTTTCCCTCCCCCTCACCACGAACGGGATCCTCCATCATCTCCACCGATCCACAAGGGGTGCGCAAAACGTCAACGGTTGAGAACCACCTTTCCACAGATATCGCATCTATATCTGGTAATACGCTATTCTCGCAATCTTTGTTCATGCTTCTGACTGGTGTTCTTGTTATATTTTACTTTGTTTGTGAAGACGTCTTTTTTTTTTTCTTTTTTTTTTTTTTCTTGCGGCATTTATCTTTTTTGTATTGTGCTTTTCTCCACTCCTTTGCAATGCTTTGGCGCTTGAGGGTATGTATAACAATTAAATAAAAAAAAAAAAAACTTTTTTACACTTTGATTTTTTCAAGTGTTCCAGACAAGGCTAGCAGCTCGCGCTTGCAGAGCCTGCGCAGTTAGTCCATGTTAACGTGAGACGAAGTATGAACGTTATGGAGCCAGGTGCCGTATAAAGGCTAAAACAGATGTGCGGAAAACCGTGCGAAAATGGGACAAACGTCGAAGCATGGAAAATCGCTCATCTCTTCTTAAACAAGAATTAAGGCATTCACTGTAAGCAAATCGCAAATCTGCTGCCATTAAACGCGCATTTGTAAATGATATATGCGAGCAATATTTACGAATGTTCTTTTAATGGTATGGAAACTTTTTAGTTTTGAGTTTTGTGCACTTGTCAGTTGATTTTCCGCACGCGTGTTCCAGCAGAAACAAACGTGCGAAAAACAACACAAAACTAGCACAAATTCTGAAAATAATAATAATTCTGCATAATATTTTGCAAAACGAACTGGGGGCTGGTATTTATTGCGTA